TCTATTTTAATAATTATTATTTCGTAGAATTAATACAATAATTACAACTTTTTCATAGCTAAAAGTGAATTATTTTGGAAAAGCTGCGCATGCAAGTGGATATCCATGGGAAGGATTAAACGCTTTGGATGCAGCTGTTACATGTTACAACAATATTGCTTTACTTCGAAAACAATCGAAACCAAATTGCATAATACATGGTAAATTCAATTTTATTTTTTTATATCATTTCGTTATTTATAATAATTTTATCTGCGTATGTTACGTAGGAATTATTAGTAACGGCGGCGGAAGCCCTAGTATCATCCCAGATGAGACGGAATTAAGATATGCTATTGGTGCAAATAATTCCCGCGAATTGGAAAATTTGAAAAAGAGAGTTGAAGACTGCTGTTTAGCTGCAGCACAAGCTACAGGCTGTGAAGTGAAACTGAGTTACGATACCGAAGTACGATACGAACATCTCATCACCAATGAACTTTTGGCAAATACTTACAAGAACTACGCTGAAGAAACAGGTAATATTTTAATCAGAAATATACATTTTCCGATAACTGTAACTCCTATTTGATAATTTTTACAGGAGTTAAATTCAAAGATGGAAATCCCAACTATGACCCTTTCGTAGCAGCTTCGGATGTAGGAAACATTTCGCATGTGGTACCGAGTATTCAACCATTATTCTCGATTGGAACAACAGCACCTAATCATTCTTATGCCTTTACCGAAGCAGCTGGTTCTGTGGAAGCGCAGCAACCTACTTTAAACGCAGCTAAATCCATGGCTCTGACTGCATTGGAAATTTTGTCTGAATCACGTCTTTTATTTAAAGTAAAAGAACAATTTAATAAGGACATTGTATTTAATTCTTAATCTATATATATAAAATTGCTTGTCCTGACTGACTGACTGAATGACTCACTGATTCATCATCGCCCAGAGCAAACCGCTGGACCTAGAGAGGTGAAATTTGGTACACAGTTAGGGTACGTCATGAAAACGCACACTAAGAATGGATTTTTCGAGATTTTTCGAAATGGTTATTGAAATATTGAATGTAAATGGGGTTTGCTTGCAAAACCTCCGCGGACAAAGTCGCGGGTAACAGCTAGTTAAACATAGATTATTAATTAAAAATAAAATTCAAAAATTTTCAATCCTATTGATGACGAAGATGTTATTCTGCAATATAAAATATTTCATCTCATATATTTTCGTATCCAAAAGCAGATGTACTATTGTTAAAACACAAAAGACAATAAGTTATAGCAATGCAATTGTTAACTATTTCACATATTCCCTATAATGTTTACTCTGTCTTTAATCCACACTCACATAAACACTGAACACTAATGGGGTAATGGGTACGAAGCTGTGTTTATTATTGGAAAACGGTATCTTAAACATGCTAACGACTTTGATCTCAGAGCTCCAAGAAAGATTTCAAGATACCATATTCATTAATGATGTTGCACCATTTTACGTCCCTCGCTCTGTTCAACGTGTGTTAAGGCAGAATTTCACGAATAAACGGTCGATTAGCCGCTACTTTCCAACAGCTTGACCTTGTTTACTTGATTTTACTTCATATAATTTCTGGCTATGTGATTTTTTGAAAGACCAGGCCTATCGTATTTGTGTCAGATCTAAAGGACAGTCAATCGGCATGTTCTCGTGATTAAAGCAGATTCATTACATTCAGCAGTGGAAAATATGCTTTTGAGAATGGAACACTTATTGAACATTTTTAATTAACCGAGATTTGTATAGCCACAGGCCACCTATCGGTGACTTCTTGTATGAAAATTTTTATTTAATAAATGGCCTGCGCATCATCTGAAGTATCTGTTGTCCAAATGTTTCATTTCTAGAATTATAGCATTCTTCAGGGCTCTATGAGTTGGGAAAGTTTAATTTCGACAACCCTGTATATTTGCATCCGAAATATGAACGAAGAACGAGAAATCACAAAAATCTACGAAATGTTTTTTCATCGTTGGGTCTTTCCACTCCGTGAACACTATAACAGGATCTTATTCAAATCCTTTGTGAATTCGATCATGCTAACAATAGGGCGGCTGAGCAGCAAGGGCGGATTTACGGGAAAAAATTCCCATAAATCCGCCCGTGCAAAGTGCAGTTTCATCGCCTTCTGGGGATTTTTCCCGTGTAAAGCCGAGTATTTCAAATCAAAAAATATTTTGTAAGATATATTATTTCCTTTCTGCATATCTCTGAAGATTTCTAGATCTGTTACAGCTGTGTGGTGAGGAACTTTTGTTCTTTTTACTGAATAATCATTTTGAAGTGAATTTTTCTAGCTGAAAATTTTTTATACATTTTATAAAATCGCATTTATCCATTGAGTATATAATAAACTATTCATATTCATGTGAGACCTGAAAGGCCCCTGGGTCTAAAACAGTAATTTTATTAATAACGTTAAATATTATCATAAAATATTATTTCGTTTTTGTGAGAAAAATAATGTTTTTAACGTGGGAAAAGGCAGATAACAGATGTTACTTTCTTTGAGGGAAGTTCGTACATCCTCTGTTTTTCCCTTATCCGCTAAAAATCTTGCTCAGATGGGAACTATCTACCCCTCTTTGATCCCCTTTCATCCGTTCACATGAAAGAGTTTCTAGCAGATGATTGGTCATAAATCAGAAGATATAGGGAAAATTTGTCAGAATTCGGGGAGGTCAGCAACAGATCTGAAAGTGTCCAAACTCCACACATTTTCCTCCTGATGACCAACGCCCTTAGACGAGTCACATAGAAGAATTCCAGAGTTCGCACTTAGAAGTTATACTTTGATTTTGTGCACATGTAGATCTCCCATGAAAGAAGTAAATGAACTTTATCTCCAAAGTGTCCCTTGCCTACAGAGAAGAAGACGACCGACAACTAGAACAGGTTGTATGTTTCTAACGATTTTGTGAGCTCTCTCTCTCGATCGCGCATCAGGTATAATATAAGTCCATATATCTCTCTATTTGTATCCTAATTGTAGTAGTTATATCTCTCGTTCATTGATGTTTTGTATTAGTTTTTATTTTTATTTTGTTTTATTAAATTTATTGTTGTTTGTTTATCAAACGAAATGACTTGTAATTTGTGTCTGAATCAGATCTCACACGCGTGTTTGTCCGCGGAACATAATTGACAAACTGGTGTCGGGACCTGACAATCTGGATAGAGACTACACAGTCTTTAATCCTCATAAAGCTGAATATTACAGCCCTCCTATAAGAACTTTTAAGATCGGATCTCTCGATCCGAAACTAAGGAGACAGATTTCGGATAATCTGTGCCGATTAAGTGGTACGAACAACCCTTAGCGGATTAGAGTACCCCCGGCTACTCTCACATTCATTAATCATCTTAGCTGAACAGAGATTGACGTAAAATATTTATTTACGTAAACACATTTTCGTGTTCCATCTGTCCAAAGTGACTGTTGGAATTAACATTACTCGACTACTAATCAACAACATTAGTAAGAAGTAAATGAATAATTGTCCCTTTTTTTACCTATTCATTTTTCTGGTAAACATTTCAAATTCGTCGTCATTACGAACATGATCATTCCAACGGATTAATCCATTTATACTGTTTCGGTTTTAGAAGAAATCAGTTTTCGAACTACTTTTAGGAATGAATTAAGTTCTATTCTATCCTATTCCTCAATGTTTTATATGTCAGCCTTTCCGGCTATATTTATCCGATGGAGCCGATATATCCGATGATCCGACCGAAGCTTAAATGCTTGGCTTTACGTAAAAGCGGGGAATAATAACTTCCGGGGAATCTTTTAAGGGTAACTGGCCTCTATTCAGGTGTTACAGACCTGGAGAAAACCCAGAAAATTCCACGTGGCCAGCCCGTCCTAGCGAGGCGCGAAATCACGACCGAACTCTCAGTGTTCAGGGAATGGAACCGCTTGGTCACTGGAGGGCCAACGAATTAAGTTCGATACCAGAGGTTTGACTGTATACTGTATTAGACTAATCAGAAATGACGTCAATTTGACATCATTTATAATTAGTCTAATCTATATATATAATCGAGATGGGTTGATAATAATAATAATAATAATAAGAGCAGAGCCCAAACGGTTAGGAGTTGAAAGTTGAAATTTGGTACACAGTTAGGGTACATCACGAGAACATACACTAAGAAGGGATTTTCCGAAATTCTCTCCACGAGGGAGAGGGAGAGAGTTAAGGCTTACCCTGAAGAACTCTGCTTCTACTGTACTATTTTAGATGCGGTTTTGATTGCGTTTTAATAGGGTGCGTACACTAAGAACGAATTTTTCGTAATTCTCCTCGCGGGGGAGAGGTTGTTAACAATTCCCCTTGCGAGAGGAAGTGTTAACAATGAAAATGTTAAGAACGAAAGTGTTAACAATGGAAGTGTTAACAATAGAAGTGTTAAGAATGAAAATGTTAACAATGGAAGTGTTAAGAGAAAGCGGAGTGCAAGATTAACAGGCACAGATGCGATTTTGCGTTTTTCGGGAAATCGAACATATTTTTAGACCCATCTAAAAGTTCTCTAATTAGTCTGGAAACAGGGGAACTAATTCTTGCATTCTGTGAAAACGGGTAAGATTGGCTATTATGTAATAACCTTAATTAATCTTCGCTATCGTTACTTTTTGCCCGAGCAATGCCGGGTTTATTTGCTAGTACAGTCATACCTCGGATATCGAACTGGCTGTTATTAATAAGAATCGGCCGGATGGCGGTCAAGTTGGCAGCAAACAGCTGAGATCGAATCCGGACGGGTTGAAAAATTCCCAGGAATTTTCGGGGGTGTCTGTCCAGATGTGTCCACCCCTATCCCTCACCACCCGCCCTCCATTGGTTGGCCTGTCCGAATTCATAATGGGCTTGCTTAAAGAGGCCATCTTGATGTCCACAGGCGGAAGAAGTAAAAATAAAAAATAAGGAAACAAATTTAAATCCATATTATAGAACGGTGAAGATCCTTTTACGTATCTGTATATTGTTTGACATGAATAAACAAATTAGAAAATCAACAATAAATTTTGTTTGTTATTAATCTTTTATTGTAAATCATTGATTTGCAGTTTAATTCTTACTTCAAACCTTCGAGTTTCGTTTGCGAAATAGATTGCAATTTTAACAAATGAAAATTTAGTTTTTAATAATTAGAAGAATTATTTTTAATTTCGCCGTCAATCGCCCGGCCCTAGTGTAAATACTACGGAACACTTGATGATTTCGAGCGTCGTCTTTGCTCAAAGCACGATGATGTTCTCTGTATTGTTCTATTTTAACGATATGTACAGTACTTTCGAAGTGTTACCGATTGATTATTCATAATTTCAATTTTATTTCAGATAGGGAACCAATTGCGAGTATATTAACGATATATTATGAAGCATTGATACCACCATTTTAGTTTTATTCATTTGTAAGGCCTAAATAATTTCAGTTGACTATTGAATATTGATACGTTTAATGGCAATTCGTGTAACCTTTAAGTTGATACGAATGAGAGCTTTTCATTTGCATGTACTTTTCTCAATTCCATTGAAGTAAATTGAAATTTTATAATCTTTTAGTTCAAGTTCATATATCATCATCCAATATACATCGTCTGTCATTCATTTAATATAGAACTTATGTTAACATGAACTTCATGTAAATCATGTTTAGAGTTTCTAATCAAATTTATTGTTCTGTAATGAAACTATAATGTTCTCTGCTATTGAAAAAGTCGTTTATCGACTACACATGCGTATTCTATATATATTTATACAGAATTTTTAACAAAATTTTTAATGTATTGGCAATTGTTTATTTCGGAAACGTCGCATTTACGATAAAAACCGGAATTGCGATTGTGTCTAGTCATTACGGGGTTTCTGGACAAACAAAAAACGTACGGAAAAGGGTGAGACCTTGACGATGGTTCCGCGGCTTCCAATGAAAATCATTTCCTGTAACACCTGTTTTTTGAAATAATTTTTCACTGTTTAAGAATATTAATTCATTAATTGTCAAGGTTTCTTTACAGTTTCACAATTCAATTGTGAAAATTAGAAATAAAATTAACAAAATTTTATTTTTAACTTCCACGATTTATGTGAAAAAGTATTCTAAACGATAATTTTTTTTAATTTTTTAGGTTTTCTCACAATAGTAACACTTAAAGAGGGGCCAATTACCCTCTCAGGAAGCATCCCCCATCGGCATATAACCCGCGTGTCGCGATGTCGTACAAGAATAAACAAAATATAATTAAATGAAACCAAGTATTTTATTACACGCTTTAATATACATGTATTACATAACGAAGAATATTTAATATTAGATTACATTTTTTGTAGTAATAACATATTTGATACATTCTCTAATATTTTTATTAAATTAAATATATTAAGTGATATATTTTCATATTTTATATAAATATGAACAGTTTAAAATTTTATTTATACTGATTACGTATAGAAAATACGTTCTCCATTGATAAGAGGCAATTATTTGCCATTTAACAACAAATAAAATAATTTTATTTAAATATAAAAAAATATTTCTGTTAAAATATATATTTAAACTGGAATGATTTAAGATTCTTTGATACAGGATACAGCATTTCAATCTTAACCTATGTTCTTAACCTAGGTTTCACTGGTTCTTCAAGACGTTCGATAAATTTGGACAGAATTAATTGTTTTTTTTACATAGTAAAAACGTAATTATAGTTCCTTACGAAGTTTTATAATTTACTATTAGCTACCTCCCTTATAACTCCCTTTTTAACATACAAAACTGTATTGTTCGATTTCATTGTTCTGCATGAAATCTTAACGGGAAAGAAAATATGATATTCTTTTATATATTTTTGTGTGCTGAACATGAATCTGACTGAAGTCCACAATCTTCTGTTGCCAGCAGTGTTTTTTTTAATACCAATTTTTTGCAGAACAGTGTCTTTATATTACTGTAGTTTAAATAAAATATAAAACCGAAAAAGTACATAAAATGCTAACATAAGAGGAATATACTAAAAATTCAGGAGTTTTTTTATGCGAATAGGACAGTCGAGCAAGAACTAGTAACTATTTGGTAAAAAAGTGACCCGATCGCTCAGCAAATGTACCAAGTCGGAAGTATATTGCTTTTCCTGCTTGGTGGATAAACTAAAATCATCTTACCTCCTATTAATATCAAGTTCGGTTTAATAAAAAAAAACTGTGTAAAAGCATTTTCATCAATACATTCAAAAATTGATAAGCAATTCTATATTAACTATTCTAAAAAAACAATCAAGCAATGAACTAATAAACTTGAATATATTGAATAAAACAGAAAGAGAATTATCTACGAATATAGCAATAAAAATAAATTTGAATAGATATTTTAAAATTTTTTCTTTCGTGGAACACTCGAGGTTGGTTTGCGGAACACTGGTTAAGAAACACTGACTTAAAGTCTTTTGTGCTTTTCTAAATTTATTATTATTTAGAAGACAGAAAATAATCTCTTATAAAATTTCAATCTATTTATCTGTTATTTATCTTCACAGATTTGTACATTTTTGCGTAAAAAACATAATTCTATGATCACATCTCCCCAGAAAGAAGTCAATATTTTCTTTTATCTATTTCGTCTCTATTAATTTCAATTCTCCCGAAGACTTCATCGTTACTAGACCTATAAAATACAGAACAATACAGAATGCAAATAAATAAAGCAAAATTAGTCAAACCTGCAGAGTGCATATTAACTCGCCTTTCAAGTTATTTCATTCAATTAAACTTTTTGAACAATCCACGCATTTGACAGTCTCGTATTGCTGATTGATTGTTTTTTGTTTTTTCTGTTTTTTAAAGAAATTATAAATGCAACAAAAGCATCGTATACATTGAAAAACGATAATCCTAGCCACATTCCTAAATAACCTCCCAAGTAACTACTTATTTCAATTGCCTGCAATAAAAGTGTCGTTATAAAAATAATTCTTTCAATTAAAAATAATAATTCGAAATGAATGTATGAGAATAATTTTCATTTACCTCAAATTTCGGCGAGTATTTATAGACCAGAACTTCTGGCTTGCGAATGTAAAGCTGAATTAGAGAGAAACGCTTCCTGAAATGATAAAGAAAGCTTATTTATTTGATTAAAAGATTTAATGATTGATCAGAATTCTCAAAATAATTTCGAATTATAATCAATCATCACGAAATTTTCATTTCTTGTGAAAATTCAAATAACCAGATCTTCTAACCGAATATTTACCTAATCTGAGAAAGATTGTAATTGGGATACTTTAAATCTTTAATTAACTTTTCTACCTGGAAACAAAAATTGAATTACACTGCTTTAACCGAAAATAAAAGAGAAATATGGTTATAATAAAAAATGGTTTTTACCTCTTCAATAGATGCAGTACTGACCTCACGTTCTTCTACTTCATATTCAAATTCCAAAGAACTGAAAATTGATATTTTAAAGCTTAATATTTCTTCATACAAATGGAAATATCTTACTATTGAAAAACAATGAATTTTAATTACTCAATTAGAAATGTAATTGGTGCGCGAAACGTTATTATGAACGAAATTATATTCATGAGTGTCTACAGAAAATTCTCTAGGGGAAGATTGGATAGTAACAATTACATCAATAAATTTTTATTTAGTTATTTATTTTGGGAGTTTTTACAAATAGATTCTAGAATAAAGAATTGCATTAATAAAAAATAGACTAAGCGTCTCATGGTCGAGAAAATAAGGTTATCTTAATCACTTCTACGAGTGTACTCTAATTTGTGATGTTTTATTCGACTGCAAATATTGCACAGTAGAAACATTGTAGTTGTTATACAGTTTTTTGGAAATATTTCGAGTCAATTCATATTTAAATGAACTCTTTCCTTAAACTCATTCTATCGTATGACATCAAGAATGTGATTTTAGTCATTATTGATTTTGACAGTAAAACGCAATAAGGCGGCCAGGTGATATTCTAAAACTTTTTCCGCCCTGTGAGCACTAAGAGAGCCTCTTTTAGCAAGCCCATTATGAGTTTGGCCTGGCCCACAATAGGGCAGACAAGTGATAGGGGACGAGATCCATCATAGAAAAATCCTTGTTGTTTAAGACCCGTCCGGATTCGATTTCGATTCTCCCATAGCGTTAGGCTACCACACCTAACTGCTCGGTAGTGATATATGAAGGCTCAATGAAATACAGTTACTTCGTAATTTACACGAGCGTTACCTTTAAGAATGACGTAAGCAATTTTAAGTTTGTCTTTAAAAACCCGTAATAACATTTATATCAAATAACTCATTCCGTACGTAATACTTACTTGGAGTATGTGTAAATCGTATAATTAGAGGTTTGCTTTATTTGGTTACGACAACGCGACACGTGGACGATCTGCCGAGAGGAAATATCTTCCCGGAAATTTTTGAGAAAGTAGCAGCTATTTAGGTGTTACTAACATAAAAAATACCCGGAAGACTCCATTTGGCCAGCTCGTTGGTAAGGAGCAAATCCACAACCAGTGTACTGTACAGTGGTTTTATTTACTTGGCCTAGTTCATAATTATAGTTCATAATTAGAGTGTATAACTACGATATAACCAGAGGGTATACGATGTTTCTAGGATAAACGCCTCGAGTAAATGGCGTATACTTATTATACTCGCTGTACACTTGACAATACTAATGTAGAGAATAATCTTGAATATGATAAGAAATGCCTAAAATGAAAGTATATTTTACTTTGTTATACCTCTCATTTTCTAAATACTAACAAGTATAAAAATATTCATTGTTCTGAAGTACAACACTTAAGAAATTAGAAAACTGGTACTTGATTGCTTGCTGTTCTCTCAATTACTTGTATATTCTATGGAACTTAGTATACAGTTGCTGTAACTTTATGATAAGTTCCAATAAATACAAAAAATTAGTATTGTAAAAATACTAATATCAACTTTCTTGCGTTTAATTCATAATAAGTTTTACAAATTTTACATCTATGACAGAATAATGTTTTCATAAAAATTATTATTACAACGTAAAAAATAACGTTTCAGTCAATAATAATAATAAAATTTATTGAACAAACAGTAGAAAACATATAGGAAATTACAACAAATCTCAACAAAATTTGTTTGTTTAGTGCAAGCAACAATTGAAATTAACTGTCTTCATCAATTTTAAAACCACTGAACTCTGGTATTGATTTCCGTGGCGAAAGAGCCTCATGTATGGAGTTTACGAATTTTCGAATGTTTCTAATATCCAAATTTAAGCCAGTTTCTGCTAGAAAGTCTTCCCGAGAGGCATTCCCCTTGTCAGATCGCTTACGGCTTTGTTGCCTTATGTTAAAAAAAACCAAACTATTGCCTGGTCGCCCCTATTACTGAGCTGATTGAACCCATAATGATTATGATTAAAAAGGTTCTCTCGGTAGCTATGGGACGTAAAAATATTTTAATGAATGTAAAAAGTTCAATACAAATTATTTTAAATAATTCCAAATTTGTGCATGAATTAGATTTTGATTGGTAACATAATTAATTATAATTTTCAAAGATTTCAATGAAAAATTGAAGAAAAAATTGCTCCGATCCTTCGTTATTTAACAAATAATTAATAACATTTTAATTGGAAAATTCTTTCAAAACAACCGAAATTTAGATGAAAATCATATATTAAAAATTTTAGGATTTATTTTTAAGAATTATTTTAATTAATGTTGTAAAATAATTTATATATAAATAATAACTTACTAACAAGGTCTGCTGCAAAATGAGTAACAATCTAAACTGTCAATAAACTCTAAAAGAAACTATACATTAAAATAACCATTTTAATTTTACCAAAATTAAATTTTATTTTACTTACCTTCATCATTCACGCATAAATTATACTCATGGGGATAGAAATTGTCTCTCAAAATACACTTAATCTGTTCTTTTTGTTCCTTGACATCGCATTTTGCTAAACAGCTCTAATTTTATAAAAACAAACGTTTCTCTCGTGAATTATATTTCATTTAATATGAAATTAGTAGTAATAGCTAAATCATATTCTTGAATTAAAAGTAGTGTAATAATACTATACATTTCATTAAGTATTGTAATACGTAACAGTACTTTTAATTAAGCATAACAAGTATTATTCAATTAACCTTTCCCACTTAATTTTATAAAGGTAATATTTGATAATTAGATAATAGAGGAACTGATTAATTAAATATTTTAAAATAATTAAATAGGTATAACATATAAGGAATTTGTAATGAGGAAGAACACGTGAAGAGTGAATCAGTATACAAATTGAATCAATTGTTGAGAGAATTTAATGTCGTTAATTATTTATTACCCAATTAATTTTGAAATAATATTGTTCGTATTTTAATTAAAATTGTTTTGGTCATGTCAGCCTGGCCGAACTTACGATGAAAATAGAAAAAAAAACCCTCTTAATACACATAAAGAAGAGAATTGAAACTAAATAACGAAAATAAGAAAATCTAATTATTCGGCTTTTTTTTTAGAAGTGTTGAACACTAGATCGTGTTTTTAAACAATCACATGGCTTATTCTCCACCTTTTATTAGTTGATACGTATCATTTTACACGTTTCGGGCTTTTTTGCCCCTCATCAGTCAACTAAATATAAGAAATAGTGTATACAGAATTAAAATATCATTTTTACAAGTAATTTTGTATAAACATTTTAAAATACATACATACGACTTTCACGTACCATTTTCCCGCGGTATGGCACTTGTACAGGTTAAGCTTGTGAATTACGAACTGGAAGAATGAGGTAGAAACGTAGTGAAATCTTTGTATATCTATTTAAAATGATAACGACATTAAAATTACGTAAACCGTTTTTTTGTATTAGTATAATAAAAGTCTTACTATTATTTATCTTCTTTCTCTTGCCAGAGACGATAAATATACGCTTTTCATTCAAATACTTAAACGTCTTAATTTTATATATTTATACTTTATTGCAGATCTTAATATTTTAAGATTAAAGTAGCTCCTATCCCTGGGATAGGAGCTACTTGGGATAACTGTAGCTATAGCTACTTTGGTAGGGAGAATGTTTTTCGCGGTCGTTTTTATTTTTGTTTTTAATATTAAGATCTGCAATAAAGTATAAATATATAAAATTAAGACGTTTAAGTATTTGAATGAAAAGCGTATATTTATCGTCTCTGGCAAGAGAAAGAAGATAAATAATAGTAAGACTTTTATTATACTAATACAAAAAAACGGTTTACGTAATTTTAATGTCGTTATCATTTTAAATAGATATACAAAGATTTCACTACGTTTCTACCTCATTCTTCCAGTTCGTAATTCACAAGCTTAACCTGTACAAGTGCCATACCGCGGGAAAATGGTACGTGAAAGTCGTATGTATGTATTTTAAAATGTTTATACAAAATTACTTGTAAAAATGATATTTTAATTCTGTATACACTATTTCTTATATTTAGTTGACTGATGAGGGGCAAAAAAGCCCGAAACGTGTAAAATGATACCGTATCAGCTAATAAAAGGTGGGGAATAAGCCATGTGATTGTTTAAAAACACGATCTAGTGTTCAACACTTCTAAAGAAAATATTACAACACGGTTTCACAACAAACGAAAAATATCCGGCTTTTCTTTAAAGCGAAAACAAAATGCATACTTATTTCAAGTTACTTCCTGATCATATAAATTTATAGCCTGTGATGTATATATAGAGAGAATATGTAGCCTATATGTATAATATAATGTATATGTACCGACAGTACATTATATATTGTAATACAGTATATTAATCATTCCGCATAGCAGCGGTTCCCAAACATTTTTGACTTGCGTATTCCTTAGTATCCCATTTTCCTCTTTTGTTTTTTCGTAGTGTTGAAACAGTGGTGCATTGGTCAATTACACCAAATACTATATATAATATTTGATTATGACATCGCCAATGGCCTCAACGCAAAAGTTTTATAATATATCCGCAATTATTCTTTTTCACGCGTACAGTACCTCTAAACTACCACGAACACATCCCTAGGTGTATGTGTACCCTCGATTGGGAGTCTTTGCGGTATAGCATTCCCTTTATGAAAACAGTATCTAATGTGTTAGTGTAAATTAATTTAATAAAAATTTATATACAGTAGAACCTCGATTATCCGCCCTAATTGGGGACTGGGGTTGGTCGGATAATCGAAAAGTCGGATAACCGTAAAGTATGAAAAAATCCATTATTAGTGTAGTATATTATTATATCCCATGTAATTAGTATATTAGTATATTAGTATATCGCTATTAACCTACTTTGCGTTGAATTTTCATCGATGTTAAGCCTAACAAAAATTTTTTAAAATAATAATCGTCGCTATTGTATCGTTAAAAATTAGAAAATTAAGCTTCGTTTAAATACTGGCTCCCTTTCATGGTCGAATGAGTGTTGCCAGCTAAAACACGTAAAAATAATATTAAAGTAGCCAAGACATAGCCAAATATTGAGCGCCACATCACTAGCGGACATTTGAAATTTGCCGACTAGGACGGTCGGTTAACCGAGGGGTCGGTTGATCGGGGGTCGGATAATCGAGGTTCTACTGTATATTAAAATAATATAAAGTCATTTTTATAATTACGTTTATTATATGTATATAAATACATTACCGCCATACTTAGAGGTCCTTGATAGTTGTTCTTTTTCCATTGACTTACGTAATCGAAACAATTTGTTGAATAAGGAGACTCCAATAAGTGCTTTTTCACCTGTTAAAATAGTTTACGATATGAAAAGTAACATTTTTTGTTTTACTTGTTTCATTTAGCTATGAACAAAATACATTTACCAAAAATGAGCTACTTAATTATACAGAATGTCTGGAAGGCGCATCACTACAGTTGTTATCTATAGGCCTATAACACGGGAAAGTATTGTAATCGTGTCAAATTTGACCCTTCCTGTTTTCAGACGCCTTGAATCCAAAAAAGTAAAATGATTTTGTGTGCGTGTTTGTTTGTTTCGTTTAATATCTTTATATGAAGTAAGGCACTAACAAACAATTTCGAACATTTTGACCGCTTATTGACCGCTCATTTTGCTGCTCCTCTCACTTTGCTTCTTAAAACAGTTGACTTGTAGCCGCACTCATCGAGCCGGCTCTGTTTTGGACAAGTCTAACGTAAGGAATGTCCTAACATATAATGTCTCAGTATCTCCTTTGCAGGAACAAAAAACAGTGAATGGATGAGGCGACTTCCAAACAGTTTGTACACTCAATTATATAATGTACTGTACAATAATTGCAACATCATTCCTAAATGTTTCTGCTTATTCTCATACTCACGGGTTTAATCAGAACCGTATAAATATACCCGGGATCCAAATTTTTTCCGTAAATACTAGGATCTTCAATACTGAACGGTGAGTGTATCGCGAAATTTCCTTCTACATGTAAGTGTGGAAAAAAGTATTCGTGCGGCAAAAAATCTATGAAGAATTCAGCAGAATACATCGGAGCTGAAAACCATTTACAAAGATTAAAACGATATTAGACTGAACTTAAATAATCTAATTCAAAATGCTAAGAATATTTATTAGTGTCAAATATTAAAATACACTCACCCACTCTGGTTGATATAAGAGGATCGTCCCAAGAGGCGCGAGTAAATCTAATGTTAAAAACATAACAGGTGCCTTCCGAACTAGGTAGCTTATCGTTCATTAAAAAATAATCGGCCCTGGAAAGTATTATAATAATTTTTATTTAAACTTAAATCATGCAATTTTTTTCACATAATTCATTGTTTATACACTAAATGTATTATACCGTTCTATAAAGCGAAACAAAGGTATAAAAAATCACCTTTATAATAGAAATAAAGAAAACTTTAGCAACTACATTTACAAAAGATATAAAAAGAGTAATAAAAACAATTTAAAAAGTACGTGTTAAATGGATAGCCCATTTCCACTTCGAATTGTAAATTTAAGAAACTTTGTAAATGTGATGTGTCCCTTGTAAATCTTACCAGTCTCATTAAATGGCCCATTGTTTAGATCAGTGTGACACACCTGTTTTAGAGTTTAGGAGACAAATAGGGGAAATCCTTCTACTTTGGGACACTTTTCTTTAAACCTTCATAATTTAAGTTCAAATTGATCTTTAGCTATGACTATCGAATATTTCTATTATATAACATCACTATATATGGTGCAACACGTGACCCTATGCTATTTTATTTATGAGAAAATGTCAAATAATTACTTACAGATATTTGTCCCGAGATACAATCATGGATTGTACCTTGGGACACGAACCAATCCTAATGTTTTTGTAAATCTTAACTTCCGCCAGATGAAAAAAAAAAAATAGTTTATCCAAATCTTTTCCTTTATAACAATATTAGCTCTATCAGTTAACAAAAATGTTTCATATGCTGGAAATGCAGGTAAGTACAGTATATGTCGATACTCTCGACGCAAACCAATTTGACCCACTAGAGGGACCTACCCCAAGGACTATATACTACAAGGATGGCCAGATCCCTATTCTACAATGTTAGCCAGGAATGGCAAGTTAGTGACGTCAGCACGAGTCCTGACCTCTCTATTTACATAGAACAGGGTGTGTACGTGTTTAGTTTTCGCTTTTAATATTCGTCCAATTTTGTGATTAACGAAGTGATTTATTTTAATATTTCTGTAATTGTTTTATTTGACTAAGATTTTATAAGGTAAGATGATTTAAATATAAGTCATTAAATATTTAAAGCTATATTTTTATGTTAGGTGAAGAACAAAATGCTGAGTACTAGGTGTGCTGTGTATGGTTGCAATAATAACCTTCTTTTCTCAAATTGGAAGCAACCTGTTTACATCGGGTTTGATCAAAAAATGACAAGAGAAATACTTTTAAAATTAATAGCAGAACTTTATTTACTATCGTATAATGTAGTATCTTGCGTCAGTGACTGTAATTGCAGTAACATAAGTTTATGAAAGAATTGAATGTGAATATCAATGAAACGTTTATTATGAATCAATTATTATTATCAATGAAACGTATATTAGAGATATAAATATGTGGTTCGACATTTTTAATAGCTATGCACCAAAAGGTTCTGTTCCAAGCAAAAATGGATATGGTATAGACTTGGAATTACAAAAAGAACATTTAAATAAAATGATAAAAATAATCTTAACAATGAGAGCAAGTGGAAAAAATGCCCTCCAAATTTTCCAGAAAGGAATGATAATCTCAATGAAATCGCTAATTGGTCTTTTTCAAGATATGAAATCGACTTTTGATATAAAATACATCTGTACTCACAAGTTAAATTAAGATTGTCTGGAAAACTTTTTTTTCAAATTAGAAGCCGGGGTCCTAATGAACATTCAAGCCCATTAAATGCTATTTATAGGATTAGATTGATTATTTTAGGTAAGAATCCTGGTATTTTAGAGTCAAAAGTAAATACTATAGATCAAAGACAAGAAGAATATAATATACCCAAAGTTTTAGAGAAAGCACATGTAGAAGTATCAAGTGAAAATACAGACCAATATACTGAATGTAAAACTACTTTTTCTTCAAATAAATCTTCAGGAAACTCTACATGCAATCCAGACTTTAATACAATCTCTGAAGAAACTTCTCACGATGCTCTCGAGTATATAGCAGGATATCTTGCCTATAAATATAAAGAAAAATACCCAAACTTGGGTAATTCCACTAGCAAAATTAAAAATCATCACAACTATAGCATTCCGTCATGGGTGCAGCGTTTATCTTATGGAGGGCTTATTAAACCTACTGATGAATGGCTAGCAAAAATTACAGAGTGGAATAAATATTTCGAAATATATCACGGTGAATTGTATAAAAAGGCTCCGGAGTTGTACAGAATTTGTCAGTGGAAATATCAAAACAAGAAACAGTTTTACCTTTTACCTTAATAAAAGATTTTTGTAAATTAAGAACTATAATAAGAATTAATTATAGAAATCTTAAACAAGAAAACTATAAAATATTGAAAAGAATGCCTTCTGAAAATGGTGATTGTCAAAAAAAATTAAAAAGTTAAGTAAGATAATCACATAATAAAAAATATAGCTCATTAATTTGTTAAATAAATGTTAGACAAAAGACTTGTAAATTTATTGACGTACAGTACACTTATTAAATCCGAAAATTCTACAGTAGTTTACATTTAGTAGTAATTTAATAATTAATTAAGAAATGATTTAATATTTTATCGTATTTTGTTATTTGAAAGATCTGTCATGTTGAAGTAGAGGGTTTGCTGTGACGTCACATAGAGCCAAGGTCACGCTAACAAATATACGGGATCTGGCTATCCTTGGTAGTTTAAAGTCCTTGGACCTACCCAATAACCAAACAAAAGGTTTTATGACCCTTTGTCTTAACTCGTTCCTTTGTTCGGACTACTGTCTGTCGACACGTGCGGACGTTCGTCCTACTGCTATGTATAGACTTTTGTACATTAATTCATAGATTAAAGGAAGAAACCTTAACCAGTTTAATGTGTTTCATCTGAGTGTCTCTCCGCTGATTCTGAATTAACGACAGTATAAAGCTTGAATGTTCTGTAGAAGGCATTTAAATGATTGAGAACCAAAGATAATCTCATTTTTGTATTAAGGAAAACAATAGTCATTGCAAATATAGGTCACAAACATTACTAATTACTAAATTTTTTTGGAATTAATACCGCATTTCTGACAGTAATTTTCAAAAAGGTGCAATCTTCGTGTACCCAGAATCGACAGGTAACGCATTGAATCCAGTCTTCTGTGCTCTAAGTAGTAAAATAATTTTCACCGCACCCCACACAATTATTTTCGTCTTGAACTTCACATGAAACGTCACTCTCTAAGATCGCAGTTTCATCCTCAGTGCTACTAACTTCAACTTTTTTCGTCTTAAATACTCGCTTTTTAACAGATTTAGCATTTTTATTCACTTGATTGAAAACCAAAAATAATCTCATTTTTGAGAAAATGAGATTATCTTTGGTGGAAATGGTTGAGAAAAGCAATGCCTTGAAATATGGTTTAGTGCCATCGTTTGCTAATGAAACTATTCCTATGTGCTTATTATTTGAAAAAAACTTTCAGTAATGATGCTATAAAATAATATTAATAAAATAGTTGAGAAAAGCAATGCCTTGTACCTTGAGACAGTCCCAAGGTACAAAAAATTCACTGTCCCAAGGTACAATTTTCTCTTGTTTATAACAAAGTATGGTTATAATTTTTGAATTACAGAAATCCAATGTTATTTATTAAAATAAGTGGTTACGAATGTACTTATCAACTAACTGTATTTTAATTAAATTACCTCGAAATATTTCGATTAAAACCAAGATCCAAATGAATTGCAAAAAATCAAACACTTATAAAAATCACACGACCTGTCACAGCGGTGAAACGAGTCAAAATGGCCGACTTTACGTCATGCATTCTGAATGTTGTAATGAAATAGCTACTAGATATCGCTACTTACTACTTCTCAATGTATTATTTTTCAAATGACGAGCTTGTCTCGAAGTACAGTACAAGGTGTCCCAACGTACAAGGATCTCCTCTAACTAGTGCGTGGTGGTATTAATCATTAAATAAAATAAGGGCATGCTTAGGGCATCGAAGAAAAGAATAACACAGTAATTTTTGATTGGCTGATTTTTTACAATGGACCACATGGTGCCAAACTGCAAATGGTACAGCTGAGTCAAGATCCAGAAAAAGAGGTTCCTATGAAAAATGGAAAAATTGAAGTACTTGCTGGCGTCATTCTTTTCTAAAAATAAAATTTTATACAGTCGATCCCCCTATAAGATCATTGATTTTTCCGTTTTATCTGAATTACATGTTGTACGAGTCACTTAGATTTTACAAATACGTGTGCCGGGCTGTGAACGGCTCACATATTTGTAAAATCTAAGTGACTCGTACAACATGTAATTCAGATAAAACGGAAAAATCAATGATCTTATAGGGGGATCGACTGTATTTTATTATTGTTTCTATTTTGAATTACATATGCAGTATATGGAGACAACAAATTTTAAGGGATTAGAGCCTCTTAAATGTTTTAATTTGGACATGATCTGGTGTTCTAGTAAATACTATTATTATTGTGTGACTTTGCTTCATATGTCAAGTTTTTGGAACCAAGTGTGTATTGTACAAAAATTTAAAAACTATAAAATTAACAAAACCTGTAAAAACAGCAAACTTAATTAAAAATTCGTAAAAAAATTTACTAAACATAGTTACTTACGTACAGGATTTGGTCGATAAATCACCAAGGACTAACGTACAATTAGGAATCAGTTCGTTTTCCTGTACAGCTGCTTTTTTGTATTCCGAAAGATATGCTGCAAACAACGGCTTTTCTGGAATCTTAATAAAATTATCGACATTTTTAATTTTATTTAATTTAAAACGAATTATGGATGCTGTATAAGAAAGATGTGTACAAAATCACTTTAATCCTTAATGGTTGATTTTTCCACAGCAAGTCTAGTTGGATGACTCAAGACTATATGATATACCAATGTTAACACAAATTATATATATATATATGCATTTCATACAGAACACATAGAAATATTAAAACAACCTAAGAATAAATTAACTAACATCTCAGAGGGCATTACGATCGACCCTCAACGATAGTAATTAATAGAGGGCATTCTACCATACACAATATAATAGATGTACAAGGTGTGTTGAAGTATACTGTAATATTTCATGTTGTTTTTATACTGTTCTGACTATCAATGAATGATATGTTTGTAAGTCTATATAAATATAGTAGTAAAAAATATAAATAGGGCCTATATAACATAATATAAATATTGTAAGTACAATTGTACCTTTTTTACTACTATATTATTTTTAAAATTGTATTGTAACGTTGCATAGTTATACAGTACTTAAACTGGGCCAAAAAACTGGCGAGTCGTCACCATTATCTTTACAGCAAGTTAAAAAAACAGTAGATACATAAAACTGGATCCAAAAATTGGTATAATAAAGTCTTTAGTTATCCAAATGAAGTTGCTGTGGGAAAATAAACTATTAAGGATTAAAGTGGATTAAAGGACACGATTTAATTTAAAGTTTGCGATTACATGTTAACAGATAAAATGCCTAATGTTAGAGTTAATTTCTGGAAAACTGGGATAATGATTATTTTTACAGTATTATTGGCTTTGAAAATTTAGGAAGTTGAATAAATATTTAGGAAGTTACGGTGTTGTGAGTCTTTCAACAACAAAAACGTATTTAGGCATAAGGCGTTAGCCCATACAAAAGCTCATATAAAAATAATTTGAAAAATAGAGTAAAATGATTTGATTGTATTGGATTGATGGAATAAGTTAATTAACGCAACAGACTGGTGATCTCCAAAGGAAAATGCTTCAAGGAGAACTTTCTATGAGAACTATCCCCTATTCAGGTATTAAATACGTGAAAAAACCGGGAAAATTCAAGTCGCCAGACAGATAGGCGAGGAAAAGTTTTACCATAAATTATAATAATGTGACAAGGAAGCTCTAAAATTCGATTCATCGAATTTCAGAGCTTCCTTGTCACATTATTATGCTGAAGGTGAGGAAACACTTCACTTTCCTTACGAAAAAAGTTTCGTTCTCTCTGGCAAGCATTTGTTTAATAATCTTAATTAAGGAAGCATTGAGAAGATTATGATTTCATATCAACGATGAGGTGAAGGAAAAAATGCATTTGTAGATTCAATAACAATCGAAACTTTTTTTGCCACCAGAATACAGATGCTTGTGAAAAAATGTGGAAACTGCATTGCATGGATGGTGACTGAGTGTAAAAATAACATCCTATGTGTTCTTATTATGATTTAGTGTACGACTCAATAAAATGCAATTTTCCGTTACTTATTGCATCACCCTCGTGTATACGCAGAATCATCGAGAAAATACTGTTGGAGAGTTTTCTCTGGAAGGAGAGAGAACTTCCTAGTCTGAACCTTTGGAATAGCTAGACTGTAGCTATTCCAAAGGTTATTATTGTTTTTATTAAATAAAAATTACAATAGTAATTTCATTATTATTTTTGTTAAGAAAAAATTAAATTTTGAAAACTACTTTTTCTTGAAAAGAAATATTATAAGCATTTCATTTCTTCAAACAAATAAAAGGTTAAAGAAGGCGACCAACATACAAAAACGATCCGCTCTATCCATACAAGTTTTCCACGACTTTCCTCTAGTTAGGAAAATTCTACAGCTACTTCTGATTTGTCCACTTTACATTTGTTTGTTTAGAACTGTAAAGATATCAAGACATTCAGATATGGAAGATTCGTAATGTAACTCTTCACATTCAGAACAAAGCAAATGAAATGTCATTTAAGAGGCTCCTTCACACAATTGGAACACAAATAGACAAATTACAAGCAACAACACAATCAAAGATTAAATCTGTGCATCGTTCAACATCTCAATACAAGTCTCAGAGTTTATATAAGAGAGTTTGAATAAAAAAATTGTAACTATTTGATACACACAGAATAGAACGTCATCGTTATAAATTTCACCTACTACACGTTCTTTTTAATTAATCGCGTTATATTTATGAAAGACACTGTTCAGATTGGGTTAATTTATCGCCAAGTTCAGAACTTGTCCTAGTAATAGTGGTATCGACCGCTTGTGTGTTTGTAGACTGATTGACTCTCTAATATTTTAAAATAAAGCAATGTAACGTTTCTCGTAAAATGTATTTTATGTTTATTGTTTTGTATTGGAAAAATGTTTAAGATAAAATGTATGACAGCCGAATACCCGAGTCTATTAAGCTCATTAAGGTTTCTGACATTAAGACATCTATTTATTTATTCAAAATATTCATTTTACTTGTTTTACATGTTCTTCGTATAACATAATCGAAATGGATAGATAATAATAATGATAACAATAAACGCAGAACCTAAACGTTTAAAGTATAAAATTTTTTTTCTATACTTTGAAATTTGGTACATAGGGTAAGCCATGAAAATGCATACTAAAAAGTGATTTTTAAAAATTTCTCTCCGCAGGAGGGAGGGAGAGAGTTAAGGATTACCTTGAAGAACTCGGCTTCTACTGTACTATATATGCGGGTTTTTTTTGCGGGAAATCTAATACAGTTTTAGACCCATCTTAAAATTCTCTAATAACAGGAGGACCTAATTCTTGCACTCGGTGAAAACGGTAAATCGGCAATATAGCCATAAAGTTTATCACACCGAGTGACCAATCAAACACATTTTAAAAATTCTTTATTCTTCTACTGTAGATAGGTCACATAATTCTGTTAGATAGGTCACACCAAGTGACCAATCTAACACATTTTAAAAATTCTTTAAATTGTGTACAGTAGAGGAATAAATAATTTTAAAAATGTGTTAGATTGGTCACTCGATGTGATAAACCCTTACGTAAGATAANCGGAAGGAAAATCGAGCAAATTTTGCGTTGCCATAACTTAACAAAACGAACTTAAATCATCAAAAATACAACTTTTGCGTTATGCACATACAAATTTTTACCATAATTTATTATTTTATAATTTTTTTTTTAAACCATCAAGTCTGGCAAGTGGTTGCGTGGATAAAATTGAATACGTAGTGACTGCGGGTTCGCCCCTGACCCTGGCTGTGTGTAGTTTTATAGGTTTTTCTTTGCTAGTCAAGCACTCTAAACAGGGCTATTCTACTACAACATCCTTCCAAAGCACCTCCTCCTTGACAGATCGCCTACGAATTGCATTGTGTTTCCCGGTGTGGAACGATTGAACGACAGTGAAATGAGCGATAGTCAAGGGAGCAAGCCAACAGTTATCACCCATTGGGCGACAGAAACTCAAAATTTTTGTACAGTCAATACGTATATGATTTGGCCGCTGTTTTTATAAATATTTTCAAAACATATATAAATAGAAACACTTCATATATTGAAAATTCATGAGTAATAACATATAACTCGAAGTTTGTTATTTCCACATAATTGAAAAGAAAAGCTCAAAAAAATTCAGCATCGAGTTGCTTAGCTTTCCCGGCTGCATTTAGTGGCACCATATTTTAAACTATTATAAAATGACAAAAAGCTAAGAAAATTTTTAATTAAATTTCCTAATCTTCACTATAGGGAACGATTTTATAAAAAATTATAAATGCTAATAACGAGTAAATTTGTCATTAAGTCCCACCCTACTAGATATACACCCGATCTCCTTTATCTCCTATCCCTTCGATCTTTAACCACCTAAATTTAATAGCATTAATCCCTCTAATAAACAATCCTTCCTGCAAAATTTCAGAAATTTCCAACAAAAATCACAGAAGTTATTAAGCTTCAAACAAGGTAAACAAAATCGTTGTCCTCGCACACAGACATTTAAACAGCCATACAAAAACAAAACCAGAATTTTTTGCATTTCTCGACGTTTCAAGGTGCCCAGAGTCCAAAAAATGTAAAAGTCTTACATGTCATAATTGACGAATCGCTATATTTTTCCTCTGTTACATAACAGCCGGGAAATTAATAAGAAGTTTTTTTAAACTTCACTGCGTAAGCTTTGGCAATTTGTGCCTTTTGTGCATATTATACACGAGGTAGACAACTTCAGAAAACTTAATGTGCATATTTGACTTATTACTTTGTAGTCCAAATATCACACACAGTTGTGCTCTACGGCACTAGGCATGTACAATAAAATATATTGATTGATTGATCGATCGTCATCCAGATATAGGCCCACCTTGCCCAGTTGACTGTGGCCGGTCTTATTCTATCACTTCAGTAAGTAGAACTACTAAAAAATTAAACTAAACTTACCATCAAGTTTTCTAAAGATGAAAAATTTTCCAAATTTTCGCAGAAATCTTGGAAAGTCTTGCAAAAGTTGGTAATATTCTCCACTGGTTTACATTTTTGGGGATTTTCTTTACAATATCGAGTTCGGTGGACACTACATTAAACGTAAAAATATTAAAATACAGTTGTCCCTTGATAATCCGACAGGTATGGGACCAAAGGTGTGTCAGATTACCAAAAGTGTCCGGATTACCGAAAATAATTACATATTTCGCATTGTTTTGCTAGCAGTAACTTACAATATTCTCTACTCCAACTGTTCGAACAGAACTGCTCACATAAAACACACGAAATGTGTGTCATNTCTCTTACAAATCATATGAAGTCATTATCCCAAATTATATCTAATATTAAATAATCATTAACAGCAATTATTAAAATATTGCAAAATAAGAAATTTCAACTTTAAATAGTCAATTACCATATATTATTTATTGTTTCTTACCTTAGTTACTAAGTTAAATTATGATAAATTAATCGATTTTTTAAATTTTAGGGCTTACCACGACAGTTAATATGATATTATAAATAAAAGTAATGTATTTTACATCTAAATTTTAGAATTAGAATAGAATAAAAACTTAAAATTATCTAATCTTAAGTATATACTAGAACATTCAAAATGCATTTCTCACTTTTTTCGAGCCCCTCTTTAGTTGGTGTTTGATAAAAATAATAAAACAAAACATAAATAAAAATTTCGCTAAGAAATGTTAAAATAACGAGGAAGACATCAAAATTAATGGATTGGTTAATTAATACTCACTTCGAGACTTCTGGGGGATTGATGAAAACTTTATACCAAAGCATTTAATCAGTTATTATACATATTTAGAATCAGTAACTGTAGCAACAATCGTCATTGTAATGTATATTAATTAAATATTTATATTGCGGTTTTACGTGATCAATAATAATCATAAATAATAAACAATTATCAACGTGTCTACTATAAAATTTAATTGCTACTAATGTTACTTGGATTTAGACAACACATTAGAAGAATTAAATTTTATAGCAGATACATTAATAATTGTTTATTATTTATAATTATTACTGATGACGTAAAAACGAAATATAAATAGATAATAATGGTCGTTTTTAATTGTAAACGTGTATAAAAACTGATTAAATATTTTCGTTTAATAATTTTCGTCAATTTTCCACAAGTCTCAAAGTAACAATCTATTGATCTATACTGCTTAATACCATTTTATTGCCATAATCATTGCTAATTATGTGTAGTGTTGTTCATGGCTAGATCGATTATAGAAGAAAAATAAAGGGAGAAAATACAATTTAATTGTACAGTACATATTAGAAAACATCGCTTTATTTAATTGTGACGTCTTCCTGGCTATTTTAACTTTTCTTCGTGAAATTTTTATGTATATTTTCTTTTATTTTTATCAAACACCAACTAAAGAAGGACTCCAAAAAAGTGTGATGTGCATTTTGAATGCATTAGTATAAATTTTAAGTTTTTATTCTATACTAATTGTAAAATTTAAATATAAAATATACCACTTTCGTTTGTAATACTGTATATTCACTGGTGTGTGTAATCTTTAAAATTTAAGAACTGGTTAATTTATCAGAAATTAACGTAGTAACTAAGGGCAAAATCAATATATAACATATAGTAATTGATTATATTTAAAATTTAAATTTCTAATTTTGCATTTGTAAACAGCTCACAAATGCGTGAGCCGTTCACAGCCCGGCACACGTATTTGTAGAATCTAAGTGACTCGTACAACATGGAATTCATATAAAACGGAATTATCAACAGTGTTATAGGGGGTCGACTGTAATTTAATATTAGATATAATTTGAGATGATTTGTAAGAGATATCAAATTTATATCACTCACAAACCATACGATATTGTTATATTGATAGCTGATTGAAACAGACTACCATTCTGGGTGATCCAAGTTGAAATTCGGATCCCCAGCTATTTTTTTTGTGGATGCTTCGCATGGAATATATTGAGCGTCGCCCCTCGCCTCTTTGTGGGCCTAGCCGAACCTATGATATACTAAATCAGATACAATCGATAATTCAGACAAATGTGAATTTATTTAACCTAATGGTTCGTGTTTATTTTACTTATTTTTTGCTCTATATATACTTTTACCCCATACCACATTGTGGGAGCGAAAAACTTATAATGGGGGAATCGGGTGGTAACGGATGAGGCCAGAACGTAACGTCCACCGAAAAATTTTAGGGGATATTTTGACTGTCAGAATTCGATCCCAGGTCTTCTACAAGAGTAATCTGACGCTTTAATCGCATCTTCCGTTCGACCATATTAAAGTAGTGACAATATAATTAATTAAATAGAATTAAACAAAACTAAATAAAATAAATAAATTATAGAAAATTATGATAATTATCATAATTTTTTTTTGTAAAATTTTTTTAATAAGCTTAAACAATATCCACTCGTTATCGATTTAACTAGGAGATTGCGTGAGAAATGGCAAATAGTTATATTAAACTAATACTAACAGTCGTGATATTTTATTAATAAATTCAGATCGAACATTTCTTTTGTCGTTAAAATATTTTTTCTCCCGTTTATCAAAGTAGATGTGGCGTTTCAATGTTAATGTTAATATTTTAATGTACAGTTGTACGTTTTTACATTATTGAAACGACCGGAAAAAGTACACTCCACAAATTAACATTTAACAAAAATACCGTTTATTGATCTATATTATTTACAATTTCTACGAGATATTGTTTACAAGTTTAAGATCTTTTCAGAAGCTTAACGCTTCTGCTGAAAAGTATTTTAGACGCTTAGTACAATTGTTAAATGGAGAGGTATATAGAGAGATTAAAACTGAAAATAATACAATAATAATTAAAACTCTGGCGTTTAAACAAAAACTGAAACTAAAAATAAAATCAAAATTAATTAATTAATTAAAATTAAAATTGAAATCAAATCAATTGAAACATAATGTTTCCGAAAGTGTGAGTAAAGTAGTTCTTATCTGTCTTAATTAGTTTGGTTATATTTTATGCAGGTTTCTGCTTGCATAAAATATAACCAAACTCTGTANTCGGTCTTCTACAAGAGTAATCTGACGCTTTAATCGCATCTTCCGTTCGACCATATTAAAGTAGTGACAATATAATTAATTAAATAGAATTAAACAAAACTAAATAAAATAAATAAATTATAGAAAATTATGATAATTATCATAATTTTTTTTGTAAAATTTTTTTAATAAGCTTAAACAATATCCACTCGTTATCGATTTAACTAGGAGATTGCGTGAGAAATGGCAAATAGTTATATTAAACTAATACTAACAGTCGTGATATTTTATTAATAAATTCAGATCGAACATTTCTTTTGTCGTTAAAATATTTTTTCTCCCGTTTATCAAAGTAAATGTGGCGTTTCAATGTTAATGTTAATATTTTAATGTACAGTTGTACGTTTTTACATTATTGAAACGACCGGAAAAAGTACACTCCACAAATTAACATTTAACAAAAATACCGTTTATTGATCTATATTATTTACAATTTCTACGAGATATTGTTTACAAGTTTAAGATCTTTTCAGAAGCTTAACGCTTCTGCTGAAAAGTATTTTAGACGCTTAGTACAATTGTTAAATGGAGAGGTATATAGAGAGATTAAAACTGAAAATAATACAATAATAATTAAAACTCTGGCGTTTAAACAAAAACTGAAACTAAAAATAAAATCAAAATTAATTAATTAATTAAAATTAAAATTGAAATCAAATCAATTGAAACATAATGTTTCCGAAAGTGTGAGTAAAGTAGTTCTTATCTGTCTTAATTAGTTTGGTTATATTTTATGCAGGTTTCTGCTTGCATAAAATATAACCAAACTCTGTAGCACTTTGTAAAGTGTTAGTTTCGGTTTCAGTTTCTGTTGGCGATGAAGGAATGTTTTGCTTTTAATACATATACATAACAGATATAAATATAACAAGTAAAATGGCAAGGCCGATTTTTGGGAAAAACTGTCTTGGGGACTCAGGACTTGACTGAACACCGTTTTCTATGGAAACGAAAAAATGAGCACTCTCCAATCAGGAAAAGCCGACACTGGTAATCGAAGTCCTGGCGTAGACTATGGCAGGCTTCGTTGCTACTGTGAGAGCCAAATTCGGCAAAGAAATTTTTGTTCAATTTAGTTTTTCGTTAAAGTTGTTTTGCTAAAATCGTCAAAGATAATTAAACTGTTTCCCACGGACTTATTTCCTTGTTGAAGATGATACATCGAATGTGTCATCAGGAATCAACGAGTGAAAATGTGACTATTGGCCCCGATGTACTAAACCTTCTAACGAAGTCATGGAATAAACCCAGGAGGAGCCCCCTAAGAAAAAAGAGGGGGGTGGTAACAAGCCGGAGCAGTCGTCTTCAACCATTTTTCCTAAGTGCGTGTGGTCCAAACCGCCTGTTTTAGCCGTCGCCACTTGCCGCCTCCCAAGAAGCCGAGTCAAAAGTGATTACCCTNCATAAAAAGTTCAAAGATGGACGGGGAAACGTGGAAGACGAACAACGCGCTGGATGTCCAACAGCGACCGGAACCGATGAAAACATGGCAAAAGTTCGAAAACTTTTGAGGATTAGAGTCCGCTGCGTCCGAAAAGAGATCGCTGATACCGTCGTCTTCAACCATTTTTCCTAAGTGCGTGTGGTCCAAACCGCCTGTTTTAGCCGTCGCCACTTGCCGCCTCCCAAGAAGCCGAGTCAAAAGTGATTACCCTCCGAACTGAGTTGCCGACCTTTTCTCGATTTGTGCATCGATACGACTAAGACTCACGAGTATTTTAAGGTATTTAGCATCTCGCGAACTTACTGTGCGCGCTCTCTCTCTCTCGGTCAGGATCGCGTTAGTATTACAATATTAACATTTAGTATTAATAAATACTAAATGTTAATATTATAATACAGTGAAACCTCGCTTAACGAGCGTAATTCGTTCCAGAATCGTACTCGTAATGCAAAACACTCGTTAAGTGAAAAACAATTTTTCCCATATAAATTAATGTAAAATACGATAATGCGCTCCATGTCGGAAAAACACTCAAATATTTTTTGTATAACGTTAAATTAAAGAAAACTTTACAATAAACATAGTTAAAGAGCATGAATCATCATCATCTTTTCTTCTAGAGCAGGAAGGAACCAACCTGGAATCAATGTTCCCTCTAATTTTTTTTTGTCGGTAAGCGGAACACATACTTCTCTGAGCAAAAAAAAAATTTGCTGAGCAGGTTCTGAGTAAAAAATATTTCTAATCATATATACTGTATATAAAATCTTATTTTTTTCTATAAGAATTAAAATAATTAATTACTGTCGACCCCCCTATAACACGGTAGATACGTTCCGGTTTTTATGAATACATTTTCTACGAGTCCAGCCAATCACAGCCCGGCACGTATGCAGTTTACGGACTACCGCTATTTGAAAGGTTTCTTCCATAAAATTAATCGATTCTAGACTAATTCGACTCAACATTTCCAAAATACGTATAATTTTTTGGGAATAATCCATATAAACTATGCTATAAACAAAAAATTGTAGGATTACTTACCGAGTGTGCACAGTTCGACTACGCCATTGCTTAAGCTTGTTTTCGTTGTGGACTGAGCATCGAATGGCGGGTGCATGTTTCCTGTTAATTTATTTTTCTGCAAAAACTTTGCTGAACTTTGGAGACATCATTAATATAAATATAATTTTTATGGACGTTAAATAATAAATGGTTTTTAGTAGGTGTGCTGCTCGTTTAAACTCAACGGTTTGTGCAATCATGTCGCGACACGAGTCGGCGATGACGTTTTACCGAATTATAGAAGTTTTTTAGCATGTTTGTACGAATACTGTCTCAATTTTTTCGCCGTGATACAGGAATCCGAACTATAGGAACCCGTGTTATAGGGGGGTCGACTATACTGTACCTCAAATGAAAAGATTTGGTTAATTTGTGCCAAAATGGGCTATCTTTTTTAATTTGGCGCATTGGCTACTTTTTTGTTAAATTATTTCATCGTTTGTTTGGACTAGAACGGAAAATCTACTTCATTGACCTTTAACATGTAGTTTTATAGTTAAATGTGACCGAGACAATTTTTCATCTTCAAATGTGGCCCAAGGAAGCCGAAAGATTGGACACCACTGCTGTACAGTATTGAAAAAGTTTTTAGCTTGTCGGACCACTTTAGCAATTTTGTGAAGCCCATAGACTCTTTCAGAGAAAGATGTTGCTAATGCGTAAAATACATGGACTACAAATGAAATTAATTACAGGCAGATTCGGTGAACTGTTTCAAATGTAATGCATCCCTAAAAATATGTGCAAAAGTCAAAAGTCCGAATACTAACCACGCCGCTCCTTTATCGTGTCCTAGTTCTGCATTATGTTGTATATTATAATCAATATGTTAAAGGTAACAAAAATTAATATTAAGTTAGCATTTGCAATAAAAACAAAATAGCTTGAATTCTTTCACATTTCCGTAAGTATTGTAATGTGAAATTTTGTGTTAAACAGTTTATATCGATATTACTAATATAAAAGCTGTCATCTCTGTGTATCGGAACTGACTTTTTCCTGCTAATTGCAAGGGGTGAATAACGGTTTCTACGGGTGCGATCGGTGGTGGGGATGTCACGTAAGTTACGAGACCCGGCTCAGTTGTCTCAGAGCCTTTGATGTGTGTAGATCGTGCCCGAAGTGAAAGTGTATTTAGTGCTCGCGTCGAGAGCCAAAATGCAGCGAACCATCGAGCAACGTTTTTCCATCAAATTTTGCGTTAAACTGAACAAATCCGGTATTGAGACTTTGGATATGATCCGTGAGGCTTACAAGGATGAATCCATGTCCAGAACGCGTGTTTTTGAGTGGCATAAAAAGTTCAAAGATGGACGGGGAAACGTGGAAGACGAACAACGCGCTGGATGTCCAACAGCGACCGGAACCGATGAAAACATGGCAAAAGTTCGAGAACTTTTGAGGATTAGAGTCCGCTGCGTCCGAAAAGAGATCGCTGATACCTGGATGCCTCATCACGACAATGCGCCCAATCACATGTCGCTAGTTGTGAGGGAGGCACTGGCCAAACAACGTGTGAACGCTGCTCCAACCACCCTACAGTCCAGACGTGGCTCCCCTGACTTCTTTTTGTTCCCTCGTATCAAAGGAGCCTGAAAGGACATCGTTTCAGGATGATTGAGGCAGGTCAAGCAGACCGTCTCAATCGTCCCCAAGGAGTGCCTGAACAGCCTTGTGGTTGCCGTCTTTCAGGAGGCGTATGAAGACAGCAAAAAGAGTTGTCAGGGATGTATTGATGCAGGAAGGTCATATTTTGAAGATTATTAGCTCACTATAATTATTAGCTCACTATACATATATTTTCAATAATTTTCTTTTTATGACTTCAGCTCCAATACTTAGTGGAAAAACCCTATACAATTCATCTTTGTTTTCAACGTGGAATTAAAAAGACTCTCTATTTTGTCAGCAAAAAAAAAATTTCTAGTGGAAAGCATAAGAGTAAAATTGGTCAGGTAAATTTTAATCGAAAAGAATAAGAACAACCAAGACCCCTGAAGGCCGTAAGAATAGCTTTGTCAAGGGCTGCAGAAACACATCACAATATCAAGCTCAACTTGACGCTCTTCTCAATTCTTCAATCTCTACTTTCTCATTAAAAATATTTAGTCATGCTTGACGGGAGAATTTTGAGTATATATATAATTTTCATGTTTCTAATGTGTTTCTAATTTGATACAATTAAATTCATTTCTATCATCTGAATTTGTGTTGACGAGTGAAATAGGGAATAACAGATCTGAATAGTTGTAGAATGAATCTGAACACAGTTTCTCATCAAAATTCTGACAACAAACATTTCCCAGGAAATTAGCAAGATTAATTTTACCTTCAAAATTGAAACTGTCAAATAAAAATCAAATCCATAGACAGTAAAAACTTCGATTTAACGTTACCATTTATTTACCTCTGAATTTGAAAAAATTCCACAGGAAATAATACCAGTCTTCGTCCTGTGGGCAGTAACCACTTTCCATGTCCACCCCGGATTTGGCTAAACCTAATCCATGATGGGCATAGATTAGGGTCAGGGTTATCCGCCCGAAACCTCTACATCATATTTTGTTTCCTGAAGAAAAATTATTTTTTTTAACAATAAATTTTATTTTAATTGTAGTTACATTGAACTACAGTTTATGCGATCAGGTAGTTTGTTCTATTCCCACTAATACAAGTACAGTAGAACCTCGATTATCCGGATTGTTCAAAATAAACAAAAATTTTACGAATTTGCTGATTTTCACTTGGCAAATTACGATACTGTTTACGTATCGTAATTTTTTTTGTTTCTACAATGTCTCACCCGGCACAGTGGCCGTAAACTCAAATATATTTTGCGTCGTAATAAAAAATAACTTGACATACGTATTTATAAATAATTTATTTTCAAATTACATCATTTCTATGACCAAGGGCGCCATAAGGCGTGGGCAACGTGGGCCACCGTCTATGCCTGGCGCCCATCGGACCGCCAGGCATAGGCATTGGCCCACGTTACTTAAAAGCCACGAACGCGATGAAAAAATTTTACTCGTCATAATTTGACAAACTATCGTTTTTTTTTTTTTTTTATTCATAAAAATGCAGTTTCAACTGCTTTTTATGTTACAAAATCCGTCTTCTTGCGCTACCAGAGGGCCTTTTAAACAATAGGTAGTCGGTTAGCGTTGGGCAGTAGTAGTCCAAATTCAATACGAACGTTTATTTCTTGAAAATTTGATCATGGTTTAAATACAGTATTTATTTTTAATATTACCGATATGTCATCAAAAAGAAAACGTGTTGTATTATCATTAAAAGACAAATTAAAGTATTTGTTTCGATTATCCGAATTTTTCCTTATCCGGACTACATTCATCCCCCCCCCCATTAGTCCGGATAATCGAGGTTCCACTGTACTATTAATACAAGTATCAAAGTTCCATGTAGTAGCTTATAGTCACCAAGTTTTTGGTGTCGCAATTTTTGCTTGACTTTCTTTTTAGTCCAGCATTCACTCTCGTGACTATACCATAAGTAGAAACAAATTCGTTTAAAAGGATGTTTTTAGTTGATATCAATTGGTTGGTTATATGAATCATGCTTTGTCCCTAAAAATAAAATCCTTTTGGCCGCTTTGATTCGTAGTTTATCTTAACGAAGTGTTATGTAATTGTTGAAGTAATACATCTTCAATATATGCTAAAAACTCGTTAGCAGCATCTAAGTAGATCAGTGGCATGCCGTGACATTTAATGATAGGAAAGCTGTGTTTCTGTAAGAAACCGAATTCCAGGAGCAATCAGTTAATTGCGCATGATGGTCTAGGATTCATTCGTATTCGTTTGTTCGATAAGCCAGTAAAAACCGTAGACTTCTAAATGTATTTTTCATATCACAATTACATTCTGAATCGCTAGCCACGATATAAGGGCTACAATTAAAAATAAAATAATAAAAACTTACTTGGTAAAATGTGTAGTGGATGTACNCATTTGTATTCGTTTGTTCGATAAGCCAGTAAAAACCGTAGACTTCTAAATGTATTTTTCATATCACAATTACATTCTGAATCGCTAGCCACGATATAAGGGCTACAATTAAAAATAAAATAATAAAAACTTACTTGGTAAAATGTGTAGTGGATGTACAGTACATACCTGGTACAAAATATTCTTCAATTGTATGAATATACTTCTAAAGAAAATTATAATTAAATATAGCTTTGTAAAGAAACGTACATAAAAATAACAAAATATTCTTTACTTTTTAGATCTTAAAACAATCCACTTACAAGTTAGTCAAATAACTCCCTACGAGTGGCTTTCTTTTTTTTTTTTAACTCTTTCCGCCCTGTGAGCACTAAGAGGGCTTCTTTATGCAAGCCCATTATGGGTTCGGCCAGGCCCACAATGGGGCTGCCGGGTGGTGGAGGACCACTTCCGAAAGATTCCTGGGGATTTGTCGATCCGTTCGAATTCGAACCCGGGTCCCCCCAGAGCGGTAGGGTGCCACCTTGACCTATAATTTGTTTTATCCGACTCATTATGGTGCTGCCAGTTGGTGAGGAACGAGTCCACCCTTCTGGGGTTTACCGAACTATCAGAATTCGATCCTGGGATTCCCCCAAACAACAAATTGCCATCTTAGTTACCCGGATGGTTGAGCGGTTAAACTACATCAAACTGATGTTGAGATGTATTGTACTGTACCTATTAAGAAACACCACAAAAAATATCAAATACGATAAAACTTGATCCAAAATTTCGATTTTCTGAATGCAAGATGATTATTATAGAAAGACTATTGTATCATTAGTGCATTAGTCTCCACAAATAAAAGCGGTTATTTGAAGTTTCATCACTTACAAAATAGCAAATTTTGAGCTTCAAGTAGAATATCACGCACGATACTTTGAGATGTATCGAAACGTGATATACAGTACTACTGTACTGTATATCACGTTTCTGTCACTCATTCCTTATGATATACTGTACGTATATCATAAGGAATGAGGTACAGTAGTTAAACACGTTTGCATTTGACTCATTCTATGGCTGTACAAAATAAAATGGGCCTTCAGAAACTTTCCTGGATATCCAAGACATGACGTACGCGTGATAATTAGCTTCGTAAAAACTTTATAAGAACCGCATATTAAGAAAACATTTGATTCAACCGGTAGAAAATATATTATTTATTAACAATTCTTTAAATACTTTTTCCATAGTTAAACTTTCATATAACAAAATAATTATTTCAGTCAAAAACAACGTTATAAAAGTTTCATTTTCAAATTTTATAAATTGGTTATCACATTTATAGATTTAATTTAACGTTTTCGCTGACAAACTGACGGAATTTTGCGTCTTGTGACGTTGTTCCAACATGCCAATGAAGCCACATTCAGAGGCTTGAAGTTTCTTGTAAATTGGTGCGTTGTTTTTCGGATATTACTACTACTCTGAAGTGTAAGAAACATTTTCCATATTATATTTTATTGCTTTGTTTCGTATTTTTTATGGACATATTTAATTATAATGGTTTTTCATCATTTTGTCCTTCGGTAAATGCGGGTGACTCAATTTTGTAGACTACCTAGTTCCATAAAGATTGTTCCAAATAAAAAATATTCTGTGTATAACTGTATAAAATCTCTAACAGTGGCATACTTTATTGGAAAAAATGAATGGGCAAATTCGATGCAACTTTTCAAAAGGCGGCAGAAAAAAAAGTGTTAAAACAATTTAACATAAAATGGATCCGATAAAATTTTGAAACAATTTTAAAAACTCGATCATTCACGCGTAATTTGATTTTATAAATTTTATAAGGCAATGCAACGGAAATTGAGCAAAGAAATGGTTGCATCAAATTAGTAATCGGTATAATTGTCAATCGCTACTTTGTGCATCATACAATAAATCTTTCTTAAATTGTTCTTTAATTTTATGTAATAATTGTGGATCGGATAAAATTTCTACAGCTGTCAAAGCCATAGATTTAGCCGCGATTAAAGTCGGTTGTTGAGCTTTGGCAGAACCTGAAGCTTCCGTGAAAGCTGAAGAATGATTAGGAGCAGAGGTTCCAATCGAGTAAGTCGGTTGGATGCTTGGTACTACGTGAGATACATTCCCTATATCTGAAGAAGCCATGAAAGGAATATATCGTGGATTACCATCCAAAAATTCCACTCCTGAAAAAAATTTACAAATTATAAAAAAATTTTATATTATTATAAGCGCAATACTTGGACACTCGATACTCACCCATCGGTTCTGCATATTTTTTATATGTTCGTGCCAAATAATCGTTTGTTATAAGAGGATCGTATTTCCCATCAGTTATAAAGTCCACTTTTACCTTGCAACCTGTAGCATCGGCCGCAGCTATACAGCATCGTTCTACTCTCTTCTTCAGATTATCTAGTTCTCGAGAATTACTAGCTCTAATATATAACTTCAATTCCGTTTCTTCTGGTATAACGTTAGGAACTTTGCCACCTTTAGTAATGACAGCTGAAATATATTACATAAGTACATATTTAGTGGTTGAATTTTCGTAAAACTCAAATAGAAAAATTACGTACCGTGAATTCGACAAGTGGGTTTTATCTGCTGTCTAAGAAAGGCAATATTGCTGTAACAAGCCACAGCAGCATCCAGTGCATTCAATCCTTCCCAAGGATATCCAGAAGCATGTGCTGCTTTTCCTTTGTAACTCACAGTTAACTAGAAAATATTAATATAATAAAAACTTTGAAATTTTTAATAGTAGAACTTATCGCACAGGAACACTATTAGATGAATAAAATAGACTATTTTGTATAACGGATATACATGTTGAGCTGTTTGCAACTCTTCAGTCCATATTAAACCTTAAAATTAATAAAACTTTTATTCATTTTAAAGTTGTTTTTTTTCTACTTTTTTAGCAAGTTCTACTTTTTACAGTTTTACTAGTTTTTCCCCCTTTTCACCCTGTTGTTTTAAATGCTTTGTTATTCTAGCAATCACATTTGAAACAATTGTACAGTAATGACTGAAGAGATATCAACAGCCTGAAATGCATATCAGTTCCATTGTACAAAATAAAGTCTATTCTATTCATTTAATAGTGTTCTCCTGTATTATAAGTTTTACTTACGGGACATTCCAATTTTCAACGCTGACTCAGCGCTGATCTCAACATTTGTTAAAATTCGTTCCTTTTTTCAACGTTGAGGTAGCGTTGTTGTCAGCATTGACTCAACATACTCAGCACTCAACAGATATGTTGACTGCTACTTTCCAATGAATTGTGGGTAATTGGTAAGACATTTGAATGGAATCCATCTTGCTGAGAATGGAATTATGGGAACTAAGCACTTCGTATTCGAGTTGGAACGTCGTTAATGACGTCAAATTGTTGACTTCAACGCTCAACACTCGCGTTGAAAATTGGAATGTCCCGTTAGTAATTCTGTGCTTATTCCCAAAGAACAAAATAAAGAACAAGAAACAATCAAGTGTTCAAAATTCAATTACTTCATACATCGACATTTCTCTCAAAAGTGGAATGTTTAAAAGCATACAGTTTTTACAACCAATATTTGGTAATTTTTGTCAAACTGCAATTTTTCTAAATCTAAATGCAACTTTCAATTGTCATCAACTTGAAATTGATCAGAAAGTTTCAATTCACAGCTATGATATTTTATGTATAACAATTTTAAGTCTCAACATTTGATTAGGATGTATAGATATAAAAATGTCTTACTTGATTGTCATAAATGTTAGACAAATGAGCATAGATATTTTAGCATAGAACTTTTAGCATACCTAAAGGAAAATAATCTATCCAAAATATAGAGGATCATTTTCATAACCACAATGAGTTTTGGCTAAGCTTGCAATACAAACAGATGGACTATGAGGGATGGAATCATGCTTAGGCTCAAGGGATCTAAGTGTAGCAATGATGTTAACTCAAAACATTTAAACCATTAGAAAAACTTCTAATGGTTTAAATGTTTAGATTCCTTTATATTATGCTAAACTCCTAAAGCCATTTAATATAAAGTTCTCTAATATGTGATATTTATTCTCTACTTTAAAAACTTGTATGTATACAGTACTTTAATCCAGAAATAAAGCTAAATTTATTTAATTTTTAATTATTCTGTAGGAAAGAATATAGTACAGGACTACATTACTTACTGTGTATTTATTATAGAAATTTTGGAATTCTATAATGAACAGCAGATCATATAATAAACTGCATTCAATAACATTTTAAAATTATCTCTAAATTTTAAAATAAATGTAAACTAGAGTACTAAAACACAAATTAAAAAGTTTGTATAAATTGTTTCTTATAACCTTTGTTTTCAATCAAAAGACATTTTAAATTCCACTAAAAAGCACAAAAATTTAGAAACTAAACAATAAAATACTTTGCTCATAAACAAAATTTTGAATTTTATTCTATACAAAGGATAATTTTAAAAAGACAAGCATGGAAGAAGATTAAATTATAATTATTACATATACAGTGGTACCTCAGGTTACGAACGCCCCAGCATATGAAATTTTCAGGATACGACATGAAATTCGAACATATTTTTGCTCCACGATACGAACAAAAACTCACCATACGACGTTACATTAGTTTGCATTTTTCATTTATTTTTGTTACTACAGTTATATTTTTTAATGTATTACTTGGCTTTAATTTGAGTATGTTTTTCGCGTTGGAATGAATTATTTGGTTTTACATGTAATCGTATGGGAAAAGATAATCCACCTTACGACATTTTCATGATACGATCTCAGTTTCGGAACGGATTAATTTCGTATCCTGAGGTACCACTGTAGTTACTAAAAGAAGATCAAATTAATAAACTTATATAATTAGGTTAGTGTAAGTTAGAACAAAACAAAACTTTATCTTATGAAATACTAAACTATTCATAATTTCTGAGTAATTGAATGTGAAAGATTTTCTAGCAGTAATTGTTCATCTTATTACAACTATCATCATTACATACCTTTAGAACACCTATGAATGGAGGATATAGATGATCTGTAGGACTGGGATGAACCATTAAAGCAACATCAATATCTTTAAAAGCACCTGCTTCAATTAATTTAATTTTTCCTCCTCCACCTTCTTCTGCAGGAGTGCCAAGGACTACAACCTACAATAAATGATTATTCGGGAAACAAAATTTAAAAATTTGATAAGAAATTCTGTAAGTTATAATTAATTTCATAAAGTAAAATATTCACAGAAATATTTTGATACAAATATTTCAAATATGAGGGGCTCAGCCGTGGATACAGAGTGGTAAGACTCTTGTACCTCTTAAATCAGCAACTATTCTCTAGAATAGCCCTCTGTCTAAAAGAATGGCTTTTCTTAATTCAAGGAAAATCGAGGGTGGAGGGCTTTAGCTTATATATTAATTTAAAGCAGAATTGGATGATCACATAATCACCTTTTCCTTATGTCAGGATTCCCAACACCAGTTAATCAATTATTTTATACGTGGATTAACATGCGTGTGAAGATGATACAAAAATGGACCTCTCATTTTGATTCAGATAAAGGTTCTTAAACATTTCTTAAACAAATAACAACAAAATTTTTATGAGACAAAATAAACAAAACTATACAAATGGAATCATTAAAATAAATATTTCGAGAGAGAGAGCTCACAATTTCTATCATAAATCATACTACCTTGGGATACTTTTTATCTTCTTCTGTCTTTTGGATTTATATGTCAGTTCTTTCTTGAGTAGGACTTGATTGGCACATATTTATATATTTTCTTCTTTATCTACTGACTTAACGATACATGGGAGTATAAAATGGGCATTGCCCTTCAGGAGATGATATGGAATACAACTTCCTTCTAGGGAATTTCGTGGCGTACTCCCCGAATCATGCAAAATTCTTTCTATTTCTCATGACTGTTCTCCAATCAGCCTTTTGGATTCTCTCATGTGAACAGAGGAAAAGGGATTTATCGAGGAATTAACAATTCCCAGGGTGCTGAGAATTGTAGTAGATAAGGGTAAGACAAAAAGTATGTTTCAACTTCTGTTGCAGGAAGTGACTTTTTATCAGTTTCCCTTGTTTAGAGAAACCTGATTTTCCCACAAAAATCAAAGAATATTTTTCGTTTAAATTTTAACAATTCAATTTAATTATTAATTAGTCACAGGGGCTATTCAGATCTCACAAAAATATCTGTAAGCACAATAGTTATATTAAAGCCAAACAACTGTAGAATTAGATTGGGCTATATTACTGCTACTCTTAATAATTAAATGCTAAATAATTTGGCCTAGAGATAAATATTAGGCAATAAGCACCTCCTCTTATTAATTAATTCAATTTAATTTAAATTATAATTAACTTAAAAGGTCCTGGAAGAAATTAATTGGCCTGGAACAGGACAAATCTGCAACTACTGCTTACTGTGTGGATGATCCAAGCACATTATTTTCTTCCAGAACCATCCAAATTAATTAATAAATATTAATTTAACTATAATTATTAAATTGAATACCAGATGATGCCTAACACCTACCTCTAGGCCAAATTACTTAGCATTTAATTATTAATAGTAGCAGTAATATAGCCCAAACTAATCCTGCAATCATTTGGCTTTGACAAATATCTCAACTAAATTTCTGAAGAACTGAAGATTAGGCTAAAAGCTAATGATGAAATAACTAATGTATGAATAAGTTTCGTAATCTCAACAGTTCACAAAATAAATGTATATATATTTTAACAATGTTATAAATAAATAATACAGAAAATTTAGATTTAAAAATAAGTAAAACAGTCTAATAAACTTGTTTATATTTTAAGATTAAACACACTTGATAACATGTTTACTTATAAGTATGAGGACCATAAACAAAAACTTTAAGTTCATTTTCAAAAAGTAGACAATCCTTTGAAACTATTTTTGTGAATCTAATGTATTTCATTGTTAATTAAAAACTGGATTTAGCCTATAATTTTAGTTTCAAACAATTTAGAGATGATTAATAAGCATTTCTAATTGAATGCTCTTATGTTAAAAATGAAAACTTTCAGTTTCTACTTCAGGTGTTTTGTGTTTTATTTATTGAAAACAAAAACAATCCATTACATAACTATTTTGATCTACAAGTAAACTGATAAAAAATATTGGTAAAAATATTTCAATTCTGCTTACATAGCAACATTGAAATATAAAGAAAAACAAAAAAGGAACTCTGAAATCATCATCCAATTCTTACAGCAGCTACATTATTTAAAAAAAAAAAGTAGGCAGTTAAATAGGCTATATATAACAAGCAGCTTGTAGCTACTAAAATATATTTTAAAGTGGAAGAATGAATTGAAAATAATGAAGAGAAGAAATTTTTGAAAGTTCTTTAGATTTCATTTGTAATATTTTAAATTTTGTTGTAGTATTAATATATTGAAATTATTTCTTACATCAACACCACTAAAAACAAAAATTTCAAAACTGTTAATTAAAATTCAATCTATTTATGGTGGTACCTTGGAACTCAAACTTAATTCACTCCAGAAGGCTGAGTACAACTCTGTTCAGGAACCAAATTATTTTAATTTTCATTATTCCTTGTGGAGAAAAATTTCTGTTCTAAACCCCAAAATACTTATAAAAGCATTTTAACTAGAATTTAACACAAATGATGTTGTTTGAAAGACTTGCATATATTTCCTGTCAACTGCAAATACATAGGCAATACAAAGTGCCAAAATATGCCTATTAATTTTAGCAATAATTTTGTATAATGAAGGTAGGCAACTCCAGGTTTTATTTTATTTTTAAAATTAGTTACTTTTTTTTAAAATCAGAAAATATTTTTATAAATGAAAAAATTAAAGTCAAAACAATTGTTAATCAAAAATTTGTTCTGATAGAACAAATTTTTCATTTGTCATTTGTCAGAACAAATTTTTAGTAGTCTGTTTGTTTGGCACTTAGCCAAACACACAGATTACTACTGAGTGATTTTCCCCAAACAAGCATTCAAATGCTGAACTGAGTTGAAAGCAGACCACTGTACTTGAATTTGAAACATGCAAATTTCTACAAGTAACAATTTTCTGACAATGTTTAACCTGTACTCTGACTATTGTTTACAGTAAATTCCATTTTGGAGTATTTTTATTGTATTGGTACAAAATTTTTTATATGTGAAAAGTCTAAACTTATTCTAGTCTGTTTTCAGTTCAATAATGTCCTTGCTATATACATTTTGATTTTATATTTTACATTAATATTTTATAGTACAGTAGAATCTCGAAAACTCGGCCTAATGTGGACCGAAGGGTGGCCGAGTTTGTGAAAATGCCGGGTTATCGGGAATGGGGTTAAAAAAATAAGTACGAGTGTTTCCTCAGAAAATACTGTACTGTACTTATATGTATTGTTTACTTGAGAATAAACTGCCCATAATAACAGCGAATAAACTGCCCAAATACCCTTAAACAAAGGAAAAGTACGTCCTTTATGAAGGCATAGAGCCTTTACTACATGAAAATGAAAATTAATGAATACACTGTGTACAGTAATTTACCTGATAAGACAGACCTGAGAAAAATACTTTATGAAAGCTTTTATACTTTTATAAAGCTGTCTATAATGAAAATTAATTAACTAAGGATTTTTTTGCCCTGCCAGGGTGTGGCCGAGTTATCCGGAGTGCCGGGTTATCGAGAGCCGAGTTTTCGAGGTTCTACTGTATTTATGTTTATATACATATATTTTACATTTATAAATTTACTAATTTACCTTTCCTTGAATAGTTGTTTGATTCTCCAGAACATTTTTTATGGCAAGTGCAGCAGCAACACCAGCTTCTGCAATCAAATTATGTCCACAAGCATGACCAATTTCTGGAAGTGCATCATATTCACAAATCACTGCAACTTTCGGTGAATTTCCTGTCAATAAATCCAGAACTCATTTCATAATATCCTACGTGATAATATGTGTACAGACTATAATTGTTTACAATTAGATTTATAAATTATGATTATTATAAGAAAACTGATGCTTAGATCAGTTTTCTTGTAATTTTAAGATTTTTCAAAAATTCTTACAATTATATATCAAATATATTTCACTGATTATAGCCTTAAATTTTTGAAAAAGTATTAGTATATTATTATGCACTTTATTAAAGGAAGTGTTTAAAAACAGGAAATTCTGCAATATCCCATTTTAATACATAATTTGTTTTTAGTTTAATTTTAACTACTTTTATCAAACTATATCTTCTTCTTTCTTTCTAAACTGACTATTGAACAATTAATGATGTGGTTATATCCATATAAATGTAATAACTTTTACTAATTACCCAAGAAAAACTGCATATCCTTTAAAAGTATTCTGAACATACAATAATATTGATAAGCAGGTGTATACTGCTTGCAGTGCTTAAAAAAGCAAGTCATTATAACTTAAGACTTTTCATTATATAGGGTGTCCATAAAGTCTGTGTGCAATTTAAAACTATTAGTATTTGTGATAGAGAAATTATGTAGAACGTATTAAAAAATATAGATTTTCTTATTTCCATTGTTTTATTGTATTTTATTAAGTTTCCACATGTCCACCAACATTAATAATACAAAGGGTAATATGATTTTGTAGTTTTCTAAAAACATTTGCCAATTGATTTACAATAATGCCTGAAATCACATTAGTTATTTTACCTTTCAAGTCTTCTAATGATCCAGATTTGGTTGCATACACTATTGTTTTCACATGTCCCCATAAAACGTCAACTCTGGCAAATGTGGAGACCAAGAAGTATTTTTTAAGTTTCAAAAAATTGTTAAATTATAATGTTGAAGAGTTAGTAAATAATTTTACTTAAACTAGGTACATTAAGCTTTCTAATACTTTTTACAGATTTTTTTCTATCAGAAATATTAATAAAGTTATAAATTTTTTAAATTGCACATGAACTTTATGGACACCCTGTATATAAAATGCGAATGCAGGAAATTGTAGCTTTGAAGTATTATTTGATGTTTTCTTCTAAACAATTCTTTGATGTTTTCTTCTTCTGTGTGCATATTTTGAAAAACTCTTCACTAAACTTTGAAAATTTATGTGAGTAATTATATAATTATATTAATTTATTTTACAAACAGGAAGCATTTTTACAATTTTTTTAGGATTAAAATTTTACAAAAAAAACTATTGAAACTCAAAGATCATTGATAATCTTAAGTTGTAATCTATATCAGACATTCAAGTGTAACCTATAATAATAGTTTTGCAACAACATAATCAGGAAATTATGATTAGGTTATTGCAAAACTTGTAAAATATCAGTTTAAAGAGAATTTGAATATGTTTCTTTTTAAGAACTTTGCCATATCATTAAAAAATTTAGAATTTAATAAAAGTTGATATAATTAGAATTATGGAAACAATGTAAGCATTAAGGAAAAAAACAACTAAAAGTTTACTAAGTAAATTTTGATAATAAAACATAAAACTTACATTTCATTTGCTTCTTTAAATTGTATGCTTATTAAAATTATAAATATACATATATTAAGTAAAAATCTGATTACTACTAAATATAATAAATAAATAAACGAACATATATAGTCTACAAATCTTTTTAAAATAAATTGCTTTGTAGTAAATTACTCATGATTTAAATACTAAAAGTAACTTATATACTTGTAATTTATATTTAACTACTTAATAATATTAGTAATAACTGATATTACCGAGTAAAAATGAACATATATTCATTCCTGTAGAGCCAATACAATAGTATATACCTCTGTGGCTAAATTATATAATTAGAAGCAACTGTATTTTTAATTTTAAAACTAGCACCTTCAATACCATTGAAAAAATGTATTTGATCCAAAGCTTAAATAACAAATCAGATGCTAGCTTCTGTCATCTACAAATGTGAGGGATCTGGATTGACAGTTGCAAAATCTGTAGGCAAATATTCCATAGATGATAATGTGCCTGTATGTCTCCATGCAGGAGTCCTACAAGATACTAAAGATTTCTGTAAATTGCAAATTCAGGAAATTGTCCATTTGGTATGATATAGTAACTTATTACTACTGTTATGTTTGCACTAATAAAGTTTCATTAAATTCCAATGGTTCCTCCTCAGAATGTAACTTATTTTGTCAATGTATACACAATAAAAATTTTAAAATTTAAAACAGCAAATATTCAGGATGCCAAATACTGTTTATTTACTTACAGGTATCATTTGATTGATTTATAGTAAATATTTTAAAACTATACAGAAAATTTTCTTGGATTCAGAACAGTTTAATTTAGATTAAAATTATCTTATTAGAAAATTTATATTTCAGAATATGTCACTCACTATATTTTAAGATTCATTCCAAATTCCCAAAGTTATGAAACATGTGATGTAAATTTACATCATAATGTACAAAAAAAATACATTAATAGTAAATTGATAACAACTTGTTATCTTAGAAAGCAATTTTAAAATGTTTTAAGTGATAAAACTAAAAGATTGTTGAATGAAATATTTCTCCGTTCACCAAAAAAATTAATCTGCTGATAAAATATGTGAATAGCATTTATCTGAATATACAAAGTTGAAGGATACTGAATTTAATCATTTCGAAATGCAGATAAATGAAAAAAAATTAAAGTTTTAATATTTGAAAAATAAATATCAGTTATCAGCATTAATTTAAATGCACCAATTACTTTACAAAACTTCTACTCTCATTTTATCATATTACCTTTCAAAATATTCCTGTTAAAAATTAAGCAAATGGAAATATCAAGGCTAATTATTATATCCTGTAATTTGAATTGTACATTTATTATGAACAAGTTTAAAATAATTAGTTACATCCTAACGTTATTATTTTGTTAAAGAGATCCATAATATTCGACAGATTCACACACACATTTAGTTATTTCTAAAATTGATAATGGGAAACAAGTTTTTATATAAATATAACTAGTTCCTGACTTTCAGAGCTAATTCATTTCTAAAAATATGTACAAAACTGATGTGCAGAACTCCAATAATGCAATTTTATGTTATAAAGAATTTTCTTTTTAGCTTCTGAAAATGAAAATCTAAAAAGATAAGAAAATTTTACAGTGAGTATGTTATAATGCTTATAATAGTATATAAAACTTGAAAGAACAGATTAAACAGAAATTTTCACAACATTTTTCTGTTACTAAAATTGAAATTGGCAAAATATGCCACCACATGATACATTCAATTGACAAATAAATTTTAAGCTAACTGAAGGGCAAATTTGGTATGTAAAAAGTGATATTTATACAATACTTTAATATCTGTAAAAGAGCAAGTTCTTTAAAAGTCAGATTGATTGTATGATAAATTTAAATTTTAGAAAAGCAAAGAAAATCTATGGATAATTGATGCATGATTTTCATTCATGTAGTCATTCCTATTTTTGACTTGAATATAAACACTAAACAACTAGAGAGTAGACTTTTGTTTCTATTCTTGGTTTGTGAAAGATAAATATGCAATTTGTTTAGTCACTCTGTACTAATATTAATATTTGTGTGATAAAATGTGAGACAACAACAACTGATATGAGATTTCACTGTTTTGTTTACAATTATTAATTACACATCTAATCTATATGATCAGTATCTTTTTATGTTTACTTGTCTATTTGTTTGACTTGGCATGATATTTAGTTATTTTTATGCCAGAAAAATAATTGTTACTAAATCACAGACTTAAAAAACTGTTTACTGCCCTAAATTTGTTTATGGAAAAGTTTAGAAATTTATTGTTCCAAATTAAATAAGTTAAATTCAAATTTCAATTAAAATAAATCTTATTAATCATTTACAATAAAATAAAATAAAAAAATTCACACATTGGCCAATAGAATTTTACAACAAATATAAAAATGCATTAACGACATGAATGTCTTACTATACGTCATTTCAATCACCAGTAATACTCCAAAAATGGTATAAAGATGACCTTTTGAGGTTATGCATCCACAGAAAACAAGTCGAAACCATTTTTGGAGTATTGCCGGCAATTGAAACAACAAATAAGAAGACATTTGTTAATGTATTTTTATATTTATAATAAATCTTAACTTATACATTTTTTAAAAATCCAGTTACAACGATTAAGCAATACACACAAAACCAATATCAGACAGGAACAATGCACAGTGCTTAATTTCATATACCAAGTTTAAGTCATCGTGCTCTTTTGAGGATTCTACTTTCTTCATTTACATGAAAATAGTCTACAAAACAGAAAAAACTGGTTAGAAAATGTCATTAATCATATTTTATATTGAAGCCATGGCTGGACTTTTCACATCTCCATGTTAAAACATATTAATGCCTTCCCCACCATTAAATACTGATACATACAAAAATATGAGGCTCTGATCTGCAGTTTGTTAAGTTTATATGCTAAACAAACTGCAGCTCAGGGAATCAGTTAGCAAATTTATAGTTTCTTGAATTTGAAATTTAGGATTTTGCAAACAGGAACTAACTGATTTTTATGGTAAAATATACTTATTAATTACTCACTTTACCTCTTCCATATTCAGCTCTGAATGCAGTTGGAAGGATATAATGTTTTTCAACGTTAAAACCAAACTCTTCCAAGAAAGAAACTAATGTCTGGTGAGAGCAAACCTCTTCATAATTCAACTCTGGCTTATTCCAAATATCTTGACTTAACTGGTTCAAGCGAGAGCTATACTTGTCGACGATACAGTGAACCAATTTACTAACTTCTTCCATTTTGCGCGTGCTTTCGGCTATCAAACAGCTGGAACATTTTTTTTATATAGCTACAGCTCAGCGCTCCCTGGTGGAATTATTTGTTTAAAAAATATTTTAAAATTTATAAATTTTGGATATATTAATATTACAGTTTATATGTCTACTTTTTAATATTAAAAATATATTAGAATTTTCTATGTCCTTATTTATGCGAACACATTCTTATTTTGTGGAAGTAAAAATGTTTGCCCGCACAAATTTTTAGCCAATTTCCTGTTTTGTCCGCATTTGTAAAGTGCGTTCGTAAAGTCAAACGAGTTAGGGCTATTTCACACTATGACCGACTGGACCGACTGGCTCGACTCCAAGTCGTGTTGCCATGGCAACAGCAGTCTGCCGACCGACTAGTCGTTCCAGTCGGACAGATTTGAAAAGTTAAATATTTGTAGTCGGGTCGGAGCAGTCGGTGAGCTACAGCCAATGAGAGCTTCGAAACTATAACCAATCAGAGTTTAGATTTATCCAATCTACGTCGAAGTTAGAAAATGGCGGAAAAAGCTTTAATAAACTAAGTCAGACCATATCCGTGGCTTTATGATATTCGGCGAGCCGATTATAAAGACAACATAAAAAAAATAATTCTTGGACGGAGATTTCCAAGAAACTAAACGTTGTAGGTACGTGATTGACTAATCTAATAATGACGCGATATATCTAAATGCACGATCGCTTTCCATAACGGCCATGTTTTCTGTTTAGTTTAAAAAACTTACCATGATTGGCTAGAGTATTGATCTATATCACGCGTTCTGATTGGTCCTTATGAGTCGGCCACCGACATTTAATCGTACTTAGTATGAATGCTTTTACTACTAGTCGGTCCGATTATAAAATCGGTCGGGTCGGACCAGTCGGTCATAGTATGAAAGAGCCCTTAGGCGAATTACTTCTGTTCCTTGAACACTGGGAGTTCGGTCGTTGGTTCGTGCCTTGCCAGGACGGAGTTTTTCGGAGTTTATCCACCGGGTGTTTTCCGGGTAACGCCTGAATAGGGCCCAGTTATACTCAAAAGACTTTCCGGAAGACATTACTACAGTGGCGTGCCGTCATTGGAAGCGGTGGGTGCGCCGCTTTCCTTGTATTTTCTAAAAAATAAATACATATTAATTTTAATTATATGAAAATAATCGCACAATATTTTATTATAACCGCATTATGTATCTTATTACAAATTTCTATACTACACGTGAAAAAAAATAAGATTGCTATTGTATATTCAAATATTAGTGGCGGAGTGGAAGCACTGTATTGTCAGCTTCCAACAGCCAGATTCGCGCATGCGCTTCACAGAGCACCAAAACTCACCCGGTTTAGCTGGTGGAAGCCTAGGACCTAAGGTGGATGCTACACGTATACCGCATCCAATTCTATCCAGGACCGGTTCTGGGCTGTTAGCCGCCTGTCCGCTAGATATTTGGCCGCCTTCGCCCGATTACGTGATCACGAGTAGATTTATAACTTAACCCAACCGTTAAGAATTTACGGTTATGTTTTTATGATAGTTCTGTATAGTTGACAGGAGTTTTAAAAAATCCATTAAAATATTTGATATTTTTATTCCGCTCCGATAAATTTAATGAATGAGAGAGATGCACGAGGTACAGAAAAAGCTCTAGAATTTATTTTCCTTAAATTACGATTTATGTATCCGTTTGTCATTAAAATTTGTCTTTCCACTTTTTTCCCAAGACTACAAATATTCGAGTACAAAGTAACTGGTTTCGACTTACAGTATTTTTACTTAGCGGCCGGATGGCCGAGCATGTCAAGGTGGCAGCCTACCGCTCTGGGGGACCCGGGTTCGAATCCGAACGGGTCGAAAAATTCCCAGGAATTTTTCGGGGGGTGGTCCGTTCGGATATGTCGGGCCCCGTCCCTCACCACCCGGCAGCCCCATTGTGGGCCTGGCCGAATCCATAATGGGCTTGCAATAAGAGGCCCTCTTAGTGCCCACAGGGCAAAAAGAGTTAAAAAAAAAGTATTTCTACTTAAGTAGTTAAATAATTAAGCGATTAGGGAATTGGGGACATAAACAAAACTCTGACGAAAGAGCCGGAATATTACTTAAACAAAAGCTTAACCGAGCCAATCTCTAGCCGAGTACAGTGGGGACTGATTTCTTCGTAATATTAGACGTAACATAAACAGAAATTTTGGAAATTTCCGTGGACACCTGGTCCTAAAACGAATTAGTTAGAAAACAAATGACTATTAATTAAGTTTAACATATTTAGATTTTTACAGCTACGGTGAGAAACGTTTAAAATTTACAACAACCCTGTCGCGTCATTTGAGATATACTAGTGATGAGACAAAAGAGGCATTTGACATTAACCAGTATCGGCGCCCGCGTGCATGCACGCATCGCACTCCTAGCAGGACCGTCTCTGATTCCACTCGTAGGGAGCTATTTGACTAAGTGGTTAAGATTTAAAAAGTAAAGAAGATTTTATGTTATTTTTATGTACGTTTCTTCACAAAGCTATATTTAAATTATAATTTTCTTTAAAAGTATATTCGTACAATTGAAAAAATATTTTGTACCAAGTATGTATATCCACCACATTATATTTTATTTCACCACATAAGTTTTTATAATTTTTTTTTTTTAATTTTAGCCCTTATACCGTGGCTAGTGATTCAGAATGTAATTGCGATATTGAAAATTTATTAACTATTGAACACAAGACTGTGTTATTATTAAAACACTTGGCGATTTTCCTCTTTATTTCAGAAAAACGCCAAGTGTTTTAATAATAACACAGTCTTGTGTTCAATAGTTAATAAATACGAAAACACGGTTTCAAAAAAAGAATTGAAAATTTATTTTTAAAAAGTTTTGGCTCAAGATCATATAATGAAAAAGAAAACATTATTAAAAGAGAAAGGCCAGTGCCTAAATTAAATATAAACACTTCAATAAAAAAATTTGTTCGACATTTTCGCGATAAAATGGCTCCGTAAATGCATAAAAATGCAAAAATTGTTTTGTTGGCTTGTTTACTATTTTCAAATGAAATTAGTGTATGGAATAAGAATGACATTGACAATTTAGCTGGCAAAAGACACAAAAAATCGTCGATTCTTTCGTATTTGAAGCAATTTGGAAATCAAAGCGGAATAGAATTTAACATTAGTAAATAATATAAAATAAATATTGAAAATTATAACGAGATAGTTACGACTAATAGATATATTTAAATTAATAGATGTTATATGTTTTTATCAAAGCAAGAATCGGCATTTAGAGGACATAGAGAATCTATCGAATCTAATAACAGAGGTAATTATATTGAACTTTATTAATAACTATTAAATTTATTAATTACGTCAGATAAATAAGCTATTAAAAATACATTTAAAGAATTAACTGGTCTCCCCTGGAAGTCGGCTTCTTACAGAAACACAGCTTCCCTATGAAGAAATGTCACGGCACGCCACTGCATTACTACCCGCATAACGACTATCATAAACGCATACAACTATTATTACGTGACAATTACATCACACTTTATTACGGGGCGATATAGCCTAGAAGCTCATGCCCAACTAGCTGATATAAGACAAGATAAATTATAGAATATAGTCATGGTTAAGGATGTAAGGTTACATATTTCAATCGGTTTTAAGCCCACCGATGGCCGAAACTTCTAAATCGTGGGTTCGCGCCTGGCCAACGGGCTGGCCACGTGGAGTTTTCCTGCTTTTATTCACGTTAGTAAAACTTAAATATGGGCCAGTTTTCCATAAAACACCACCCGGGAGACATTTCTCCCCTGGGCAAATCGCCCATGTATGTCACGTTGTCTTATACCAATAATTTTCAACCGGTGTGCTGCGAAAATTTTTGAAGGTTGTTAATTAATAAGAAAGGATATTTTCTAGGTTAATTTAATTAACTTAAATAGCGGGATATTGGGCAGGTTTCTGAAGGGAATTATCATGCCACTTAGATGCAAATTAAGACGTAATATTAACTGCTTTTCTTATGTAAATGAAAATTTTGAATTTAAATAACTATTGTTGTAACCTAAGGAACAACAATGTTGTTTTGTTTAATTCACAAAACGTGTAGACGAAAAGAATTAGGTTAAGTGGCAAGTAATATGGCGATAGAACGTTTACAAACACAACTTTAAATCACGTGATTTGTGCCGCGGAAATTTAATTATAGGTTCAAGTGTGCCTAAAAAAGATTGAAAAACATTGCCGTATACGAATAAAACCAATCATAACTAAATAACCTATGCTAAACTTTTAACTTCAAATGTTTCAATGCAATTCACTTGAAACATTTGAAGTTGACGAGTTAATGCCATAAACCTGTTGATCCGATAGTGATACTATAAATATGTGAACAAATACACATTGATGAACATTAAAATGAGCACGTACTAATAGTAATATTACATGTAAAATTGGATACATTTCTGTGGTGTTCATCAGGAAACGCACTTGCAATGCATCATTTGGCACATTAGAACCAAAGGCTATAGTATATTTCAGATAAATACAATACAATAGCTTATAATCTATTGTAGCTAAATTATTACTTGTTAACGAAAAAAGGAAATCATTTGTATATCTTTAGTCTAAAGCAGATCAGTAGATTGAAAGAGAAATTGGTAGATCTGGTAACGTTTACGGGTAGCGTCAGTGATGCCAACTTAGGAGTTTCTTCCCTAGATTTAAAGAAAAATAAACAGGAAATTTAGGAAAACTTGTTTCAGATTTTAGGGGAAATTTCAATTCTGTTTAGGGAAATTTTACAACAGAAGGTTGGCAATATGCTTAGCGTTAACATGATTTTGATTTTGCATTCAGCTATAAAAAGTTATAATTTTTTTATTATCAAGATAGAAATTTAGCTAATTCTCCATTTCTTTAACTACAAAAACTACTTTTGCTACTTTTTCATTATGATTCCGCACAACTATTTTTATTTGGCTTCTGTTGGCAACTTAGCCTTAATTTTTTTCATCTGTTTTGCGGGGTCCACCAGTTCCCTGAACACTGGGAGTTCGGTCTTGGATCCGCGTGATTTTTTCAGGTTTTCTCCACGTCTGTAACGTTTGAATAGGGGCCAGTACCCTTCAGAAGACCTTTCGGAAGGCATTCTCCCTAGGCGGATCGCCTAAGTGTTGCGTTGCCATAATTTAATAAACAAACAAAACAAACTGTTTTGCAGTAATCACGATTGATCCCACGCTAATTCATCATTATATTTATTTATTTTATTTTTAACAATTCACTATTACAGTATGCAAAAAGTAAGTAATTACTTTGCTGAATCCTAAAAAAGTGAATGACTCTTTGCTTTCTGTAAGTCACATTATTATTTACATTCTCTGCTACTAGGCTTTTTTTTAACGCTTCAAAACATATTTTTAAACAGAATTACTTAATATAATTTATTAAGCAATTGTCGGGATGTCCTCATTTTGAAATTTTATTATATGGTAACAGTATAAAATGTAGCCTACATTTAACACGTTTAATAAATTCATTAAAAATTAATTGTAGGCATAATTTTTGTAAGAAAAGTAAAAACAATGTATCATATGTTATAGCAAGATCTGATAGGCGAGAGACAGATAAGATAAGGCCTGGACTACTTACAAAAGTTGTTCTCATCTTATGAGTAACCGAAGAATGCACAAGGTTCAATTAATATGTATTACAAAAGTTGGCTCTGGACGTCTTTTAAATTTTCTGTAAAGGCTAAAGTCTTTAGAAAATTAAGAAGAAAGGCTCTGGGGTTTCGACCCCTCAAATTAACTATTCTATGTAGAGATGATACAGGTAAAACAGTAGGCCTAATAAACATACAAAAAGGTAGTAGTTTTAACACGTGATTTGCTGCCAAAATGCCAGTCCATATAAAAATAGATTTAAATGATTTGTGGAATGAGGCAACGTAACACGAGGATGGTATGTCAAGTTTGTGCTTCTCTAGAGGTCATTTTGTGGAAACTGGTGAAGAAAACTATGCCAGCCATTGGTCAGAGCAAATCCACGATCAACGGTTACTGACGGGATCTTAAAAAATGTAATTATTTGACTGCAATTTAAAAAAAATTATAGACCTATAAATTTCCACTGTCGTCCATCTGTGTCGTATGTCTGTCTTTCCTTAATCTCGAGAACGGAATTAGATAAATGAAAATCGAAACTATATATGGAAAGGTTAGGGGAAGGAAACCCCTATTAAGTATATAAGAACTTCCGAACGGAAGTCACCTTATTGCAATTTAGAAAGGTCTTAGATAGATGATCGGCACGACTCTATTCTAACAGGGAAAGCATAATGTACAAGGGCAAAACGCAGTTTAAGGTAGAGAGCATATATTTTAACTTAAATAAATCTTAGGAAGTCATATTCTGACCGATTGCAATACTTTCCCTCTGTTATATATAACAGCCTGAAAAGTAAAATTGACTTTATGTTAATACTTATTATATATTCTATTAATTAATTTGTTAATATTACGTATAGATTTCATTATAATTTAATTCTAATATCAAATAGAATATACTATGTATGATGTAATATAATATTCAATTCGTAGTAATGTTATATTTATCTTTAAGATTTTAGTATGTAATTTATATAAAGTTATATGCCTATTTTTAATTTAAAAATGTATACAGTACTATATAATATAATATTATATATAGTATATAATATATTATATACTATATAATATGAACATGTGGTTAAGAAGATTCAATTTTGCTTATGTATTAGAATAAATATAATTTTCTCAGTCAACTAATTTATAGTACAAGATTAGATAAGTGAAGAAAACACGGAAATCTCCACTCAACTATCAATAATATAAGAGATAAATAGTTTCAGCCCCTTCAGAATAGACTTTCCTGAAATCCAGTTTGATGTAACGACATCGAAGATTGAATTTACAGTTGTTCCAACAGGTTTTCTACATGACTAACTATCGTAAAAACCATTAATCTTTCAGATTCGACTTAAAATTAAAATGCAAATTGCTTTTTTACTACTGTATCAAATAACACTTTATTAAATTTTTTTTTTAGAAAAGTTACAACAGTTGAATGACAATTAGTCGTTAGCTTTGTAGTACACGCTATATTCATCTATTATTAATTACTAAGGAGCACGATAGGTTTGTAAGTTCAAAAATTTTTTGCATATAGAATTTCGTGTAAGTGCTACTCATATATAAAAATATATAAGTAAATTTTTTAAATAATCTTGGCTCATTTAATTTGCATAAAATAAAGAAATTGATATAGGAGATGCAAAAATAAAAGTATTAAAATTTCGAAATTATTGAATATAATTAAAATTTCAAATCTATAAAAGAGTTTTTATTGCTAATTTGAGGTTTTAGGGCCTTGGAGAGCTACCAAACACCTGGGATAGGGCTTCTTTACAGCTTCTTTTAATATGACATCACATTTCTTCTTCCATGCATTTAAAATTATATAAATTAAAGTTTATTATGCAAATTCCAACATGGGTTCTCTTACAAATCCGGGTCCCAGAGCTTTAGCCCTGTGTCAGGCCTTGCATCTGTATATATTATAGGAACATTGATTAATGAATCATGGGGTTGATTTTCTGGAGATATTACATAAATGAGAACACAAATACCAATTTTTCATCACTAATACTTCCTTTTTTGGTCTTGCTTTGCTCGAATTTCTCCATTGTTTTGCCTGAATTTGGGAGGGTAGGCTTAATTGACCCCTGTACCCCGACTCGAACGTCCATGTTTTCGAATTTTTTAAATAATTTATAAATTTTAATAAACATCTCATTTAACAGTTACGCTTATATTTTACATGAATTGGTAGGATGATATCATTAAAACTGTCATACCTTAATAAGGAAATAAGGTTGCCTAATTGTTGAACAGAATTTGAAGCGCGTGTTTTAAATTTTTATCAGATAACAATAATTACTGAGAAAATAACAAATATTCTTTTAAAGAAAATGTTTTGTTTAATATTAAATTTTGGGGTGTGATGGAGAGATGAGAGCAAACGGATAGAGAGGAGAAAGGATGTAAAAAAATGGGTACAGCAAGTTAGAGAAAATAATTGTAGAAATGGGTAGAAAAAGTTAGAAGGATTAGTTGAAATGATATATTTTTTTAACTCTAAAGGCACGGTTTTTAACAAGCCCATTAAAGATTCGACCAGACCCACAATGGGGCGATCGGATGAAGAGGAATGGGATTCGACATAGTAAGCAATCGCAGCTATTTTTTTATTAATATTAAGGCGCTAATTATAACATCGTTTACATTAGATATTCACAAGTTTACAGTCGAACCTCTGAACAACGGCCATTGACGGAAACATAAAAATGGCCATTCTTTTAAGGTTATTTTGAATGCATTTCAGTTCAAGAAATGTTCCTGAAAGAATTGCCGACGTTCGAGTTTGACAATTTGGCCACTATTGGAGGTTGGAAATGAAAGAATTAATAGAAAGTTGATTTACAATTTAATACAGTAAAACCTGTCTTAAACGGACCCTCGAAAAAAACGAAATTTCTTCTGGAATTAAATTAAATTTCTTATTTTTAAATGCAATATTTATGGAGTAAAATCTTTTTTAAAACAAAATGCGATGGCATATTTCCGTTTTATGCAGGGTCGTGTTTTCATTCCTTTCTAGTGAATTAGGGAGAAATGGTGATATTGTATTATCACAACTACTTTTCAGACAATGAAAGTATGTACCTTCTTAACAAAGAAAAAAATCATAAAGCGTTACCATGATCCTAGAGTACAGGTCACAACATTAATAAGATTTTAAATTTACCTTCTGATACGTCGAAAAATTCCGTTTTATCCAGGTTATATTACTTAATTCCTACTAGTGGCCGAGTGGATCTGGTAATTTGTCCCGGATTCGCACATGAATAACAAAGTGGCCGTGTGAAGTTTTTCAGGTTTTCTTCACGTGCTTAACATCTAAATAGAGAAGGAAACCACTTTATCTTAGAAAGTCCTCCCTGAAGGCAAACAAACCCTTTAGCAGATCACCCACGTGTTATCCCATCAATCCAAATCTATATTATGCAACGCCGTTTCCTCATTAGACAGGTTTCCATTTTTTCCCGCGGGTTTGTTTAAGACAGGTTTTACTGTATCAATCTCTTTCAGTTTAGAATAAATTATAAAATTATTACACGTACGTAAATATTAAACACGGGTCTTCAATAAATACGCCATTATTTCTATTTATTACAATAATTAATTAGTCAAACCTCTGAACAACGGACAGTGGTAGAAATACAAAAAATGATCGTTGTTTGGAGGTTATTTTTATATACATTTTAAGAAGAAACGTCTATTAAAAATTGGCCGCCATTTAGAGGTGGCCGTTATTGGAGGTTCGATTATATTTACGACTTTAAGAAACTGAAACGAAACTTATTTTTTCTAATCCTTTATTCGTATTCTATAAATTAAAATCGCCATTTATAGGTTATTATATTAATTTACAATATTTAAAAATATTTATTTCGGAGAAAAACCATTGAACGAAAAACCAAATTTCTGCATGAACACATTTATTTATGAAGATGAAGTTTACATTTATTTATTATTTATTTATTTTGCGCATGCATTTTTATATACAAGCACCCGTGGTTGGACATGGGCGGTCTATAAAGCATTTATTCTCACTCTCGCTTCTAATTTTGGGCGAGATTATGAGAAAATCCATCACCCCACCCAGAAAAGAGCCCTTCGGTTACCTCGGCAGCTACTTGGCATTACAAATAAAGTGGGACGTTAATCCCGATGTTGTTTATATCCTAATTATCCTCGTCTTCCTCCCGATCCTGGGCGGAATTGAGCTGGTTCTGCAGGAACCCCTTGTCTTCCTGGAATGACTCGTGCTGCTCTGTCTGCATCATCGTCTGTTAAGAAGGGCAATTTCTCGTTTCCTATGTTTCCATTTACGTAGAAGAAATCTCTAGCGCTTCCGCATGGTACGGATTCGTATGGATCGGCACAGGTCAAGCTGTATTGATTGAATATGGTTTGATTTCCGCACATGAAACTCCATTGATACGTTTCGGGGCTGCCATCTTCTCTCACCACCGTCTGGCAAACGTGGAAAATTTGACAATTGTTGTCTACGTCAGCGAAGTATCCGTCACCGCTACACGTAAAGCTCGTTTTAACGCTTCCTATAAGTAACTCCACTCCATCCGGAAGCGCGTAAGCTTGACGTTTAGTCTGAAAATGTCAAAAATTTGTCCATTAAAATCTTTAATTGACTATTCTTTAACTAATTATACGATTTTTTTGAAGTTTTTTAAGATAATTTATAAGTTATGTGAGGGAATTTTACAATGGAAGAAGAGTTATCGATCAACAGAATTATAGTTCGAAATTATAAAATTAATTAACCTATAGAACCGTCTTTAATTGTCTGAATCTAACCTTTAATTAGCTATTAATTCTAATTAAAAAAATTAATAAAATACAGTCAAACTTCTGAACAAACGGCAGTATAAAAGTGACCATTATTGAGAAGTGGTCGTTATTAGATGTTGAACTGTAGTTTTTTAAATAGACATTTAAAAAACCAATGACTCACCCTGGGAAGCGCATTAGTCAAAGCTAAACAGCTTACTAAAAGAAAATAAAAGAAAAAAAATTATATAAAAATTAAGAAAAAAACATAGGAAAAAAGGGAAAAAAACTTTAAAAAATTTACCTAAAAGCAAAACGATTTTAATCATGTTTGAACTTTAAAAAATCACTGAAATAAAACGTTTAAAGTGAGTAACTTTATAGAAATTTTCTAAACTACCACATCCGAAAATATGTCTTACCAGAATAATCGGAAGATGAACGAGATGATGCGAAGAAGAGTAAACGTGCGTTTTATATAGTACCGTTAAGGCGCCATTATTCTTGGATCACGTGTTTCTACCTGTCAAATCTCACCAATAGGATAAAAGAAACGGTGAAAGTGTGTCACCGGAAGGTGGGTTAGTAACGGATTTAATTGGCCCCGGGCGGAAGATGTGACTGACGAAAGACAGATGAAGCACGATCGACTCGTTCAAGGTCGGAAGATACCGGTTAACAGGATGTCTGGATGTCATTGTTCGTCTACTTCCACCCCATTCTAGTCGATTTCCGTATCGTTATCCACTCAACCCGATGACAAATTACACTTCTCCCAAATAGCCGCATTGAAACTCGCTTCCGATAAGATGAAATATCGCTTAGAAAATCAAGTATGGTCTGTCCGTCACGAAGTCTGTCCGCCGAAATCATTAATTATACTCCACAATAAGACTTTATAAGTGTAGAGAAAGTAACTCTCTTTCGATTTAAATGAAAATTTCTCGAATGGAGATGAAGATGAGCCAAAAATAATCAAAGTTTCAAGAAGGGTTGTGGGGCGAAAATGCTTTTTTGGGAAGAAAAAGTTATATTATAGAAAAAGCTAAATAAATTAAGAAATTGTTACTTATTTAAGGATAAACAACAGTTTTTTTTTTCTGTAAGAAGATAAAATGGATAAGTATTAGCCAGGTAAGGAATAACGTTATCCTGTGGGCATAATGGGCAATTGCTTGGGGTCCCCACCAATTAGGGAGCCAAATAAAATATTTTTCCCCAAAAAATCCCTAGAAGACACTGCACTGTATATAAGATCCCCTAATTCAAATTTGCTTGGTCACCTACGAAACTATCAAGCGCCACTTAAATAATTAGTTATAAATCCTGTCGACACGTCTGGATAAATGCTAATTTTGAATACCTAATTGAATTTTTAATTGAATAGAAGAGTTAAAATCATAGTTTCTTTGATTGTTTATTAATTAAATTCGTAATATCTGTATTCAGAATCAGAAAGGGGGAGTAGGCTGGTGTCCTGGGTGCAAGTTTTGAGAGCAGTGAACATTGAGATAACCATTGGTCTGGCCACGTGTAGTATTCTGGGTTTCCTTCACGTCTCCGTCACCAAATAGGGGCCAGTTTTACATAAAAAAAACTCCTCCAGTGAGGCACTTCTCTCTTAACAGATCGTCCAGATGTTTCGTTACCTCGTGCTATCAACCAAACCCCTTCTGTCTGCATCATTTGGCGAAATTCTATCAACTTGATTCATTTTATGAACGATTCAAACGAAGAGTAGTCGAATCTAATTTAAATTATTTCACAACTGCGCTTTTTATTCCTTTTATAAACATTCCAGGACATTTTTTTAATGTCTAAAAACCTTCATATCTTCTTGGAAATGAATTTAATTTTATAGGAATTCTGTAGATTATAGTTAATAATAGTATTTCTGAATTTGTTAGAATAATAATAATAACAATAATAATTTTGAAATTATTATGATTTAAGACCAATTTAGATTCGAAATATTTTTTAATGTCAAAATATCTGTCATTAAGAAATCATGACTAAAGGATCAAATCTTTTTTATCAAAGGTTACATCAGGATCATCTTATAAAACTCTTCGAGAGATCATAATTACGGGAAACTATGTGAACAATTCGAAGTTAACAACTGTATTAATTTACCTACATTTTCCTTTCGTGAAAGACCTCGATTTATCTTACTTTCTATTACGGTATTTGGATCAAAGAAGAAGGTTTCAAATTAAACGTAATTACAGATTGATTTTACTTTTAAAAAACACACGTAATATTCAGCTAATGCTTGTTATTATTAATTAATTCATGTATAATACTGATAGAGAAATAAAAACAGTTGGCACCTCGTTAACAGACTGATCGCGTAGAGTTATCTAGGTTTTTTTCACCATTGAAAATTAAATAGGAGCCAGTTTCCCATAAAAGTCCATCGTGTGGCATTGCCATAATCAAATAAAACCAATCTTTATCACCTTTAAAATACGAATTATAGTATGGTTTTTCTAAGTACTTAAAAGATTTAATGTAGGGAAACAATTAATGACCACCATTAAGCAAAGAAAATCTGGAATTTGACCAGAGGAGCTTCAGGCCAATTAACGAAGATGGTGATAGAGAGGACAGAAAAAAGGGTCAAGAGAAACAGATGGAGGGATCATCTTATAAAACTTTAAGGACTTGGTGAGAAATGCTCATGACTGTGAAAGATGGAGAGAAATGATTCCTCAGCTGCAATCTTCTAAGAAGAGGATGACACAAAAGTAAAATAGTATGGTCCTACGAGGGATAAGGATTAGACTCTGAATGCTTTATTGTCCGCCTTTCCTTGCATTATTTTTAATCAGCGAAATTAAGATTTCAGTAGCCTTTATTTTGCGCGATATAATCTCATAGATCGTAAAATAATTCGAATTGCGTAATGTTTGGTTGGTTGCTAGGATGCTGCAATGCGACACGTGAGAAATCCGCCAATTGCCGGACTTTCTATGGAAAACTGGCCCTTGTTTAGGTGTTAGACACGAGAAGTAAACCTGAAAAACTATACAATAAATTAGTTTCTTTTATTTTTAATAATGTATTATAAATTCGTCGATTTTCCAGCCGAAACTCTGGAGAACCCGGAAACTGAGAACCCCTGGAATTATTTGTAGATGATTTCTCTCGGATAGATCAGGTCCCGTCTCTCACCACTCAGTCGCTCTATTGTGAGCCTGACCAAACCTACGATGATCCAGGAAAAAAAGCGCTTTTAATGGCCTCAGAACAAGAAGAGCCCAAAAATTCCACGAAACTTATAGTTCCATTATAACAATCAAATACCAAACTGCAGCTTTAAGCGGAATGTTGTATGTATATTTCTGATGCACCCGAAACTAATTATTGATGAAGGGTCATTTACAAATCTCGTGTGCATTAGAATATTATTTCCTTTTTATTATTTATCATAAACAAAGGAGATTTTTCTTTTAATTCTTTATTATTCTTCCATCTGGTTTTTGTTCTTTTATTTTTACTTTTACTTTCCACGTTTCTCTGAATAATTGCATTAATTTGATTTAATGAATACAATTATGATGACCTTGAATTACGCCTTTAATATTTTATTTTTTTGTATTTATTTTTTATGATTATCAGTTTATTTTTGCTGTTTTCTTTTGTTAATCAACGTTATAAAGTATACAATATTAAATTTTCTTTAATACCCATATCATTGTATACATTTTTCTTCGATTTATACCATTAACTAGGCCCTATCAGAGGGAGGTAGGCAAGATTATTAGGCCCTACTCCCTTTGAAAGGATAAGAAAAAAAGGGTATTTTCTTATGAGATGTGGATTATGAGCAGGTTGCTCAATATTGAGACCCGAAAGGCACATAAATTTACTTCTTAATACACAAAACTTGCAATAGAATGGATGCTTTTTAGCAAATGTTTTTGAGGTTTTTATAAAAATAAGGCCCTATCACACGGAAGGAGAAAGCCTGATAATTTCCTTGATAATTTCCTTGTAGCAGAGCCTTATATTTATGAGAACCTCAAGAAAATTTGTTATAAATTATTTTTTTTAATTCTATAAATTAATTTATTGTTTAATTTAATTAAATAAACATATATGACTGATTTAGACTTACGGTACTTTGATTCTAAACCATAACATATAATAGAACTTTATACTAAATAATAAAGTTAAAAACGTGAGGCCCTAAACTATAACTTCTGTAGTGTATTTGTAAATTGATCCGTAATTAATGAGGCTTTAATTTGTAGCCTTATAACGTGAGGCCCTAACCTAAGGTTTGTTTAGTATATTTGTAAATTAGTCTCTGATTAAAAGTTTAATTTAACTTGTTCTCTCTATTACTGTATAATTTCAGTAGATGTTAACTGATTAAACTGTATCAAAACTTACTTACAATTACGAAAATTATAAATTTATTCTTATTTATAACATACTTTTTGAACTTTCGTTTACATTACTTGCTACCTGAATCACAAAGTACCTTTCAACGTAATCTCCTTTCAAATCTATTGCATTACATTACGAAACGTGATACCACTCGTAGAATATAAATTGCTGAAAATTTAATTCTATATGCAGTCGAATCTGCAATAACAGCCACCTCTAAACGTGGCCACATTTTTTTAAATGTGTACGAAATAACCTTCAAACAACGATCATTTTTAGTGGCCGTTGTTCAGAGATTTGTCTGTAATAATTTTTATTTATCACTTTTTTTAAGTAGGAAGAGTATATTTTAATCTGACAAAACAAATTTTTATGTTGCTGATTAATTTACGCATTTAAAAAATCATATTAATAACACTAGCACATCGTATTAAACAATACGTTTTCGTACTCTAATTACGTCAAGTCTGAAATAAAAAATCAATATTTTGTATTGTAGTTCTATTCTTGATTAAAAATATCGAAATTTCCATATAAAATATTTTAAAAATATATAAATATTGTCTTAGTGTTTGGCTGGTGTTACCAAGTTCTATAGTATTAGGCTAATTAGTTGTCTCGGTGTTACTAGTTGTCTAATGTTTCTAATTGTGTAGTGTTACTAGTTAAGTAGGTTTACTAGGTTTCTAGTGTTATTTGTTGTCTTATTGTAAGATTATTGTTACTAAGTTTACTGTTACTAGGTGTTTTAATGTAAGACTAGTATTACTAGTTGTCTTAGTGTTTGATTAGTATTAAGGATGTATAAATACTGTCTTAGTGTTTGATATAGGCCTATTTGCATTATATAACTGACACATGCAAATCAATCAGAAAAGCACGTTGAGCATGATTTGCATACTTTAAGTTTTAAAAAATAAATAAATAATCGGGAGAAAACTATAAATTTACGAATGTATTTTTTAGGATGTATCTATATTTAAAGTATAAAGTGTACACAGAATGTCAAAAAATGCATATTTAAACTCGTCAGTGAAATATTAGTGAAGTGGATGTAACAAGCAGGTCATCCATAACGCGCGCACACAAGGAAAGTTAAAGGATGTTTCAAGTAATCGGGGCCACCAAGAGAGGTTCACTCGCCCTTCCAGTTCGCTTTTACTCTTTATAAATAAAGAAAGGTTAAAAGATGAACGGAATTCCAATAAGAATACGACAAATAGGAATTTAAGAACAGAATTTTTATTTCTCAGACTTAAAAAACATCCGTCGTGAACACAAAATGGCGTCTGCAGAAAAACTAGAGTATGAAATTCCTCAATAAACGCATGCCATGTTTAATTTAATTTAATTTTTTTCGTAAATTTCGACCATTTTATGTTCTAGGTAAGCGGCACAACTGTAAAAATTCCCACATTCCAATCACATAAATAGAATGATATTCGTGTAACTGTATGCCTTGTCAATCTTTACGTCATTTATGCACGACTTTTCGTGCCATTAAGTAAGGATCATCCCTCTTAGTTTCTTCTGACCTACATAACTCGAACGGCAAGAAAGTCGCGCCCGTTTTTATATCCAGAATTTTCGGAGAAGTAATTATTTATATAAATAAAAAAATTCAATTTCTCTCAACAATGTTGTGTGTATAACTCACTTGTTAGGTTACGTGTATACACAAGGTTTAGTCATTCTGCGTCATTACAGTTATTAACCATCCCACACACGAAAAACCTTTATTAAAAGAAAAAATTTAATTATTTTTTTTAATTCTATTAAATTTTTACTGTAAATTATTTTATTATTTGGCTATTAAGTTAAAAAAATAACCTGTCCAAACAGGGGATAAGACTCTTAAACCTCTTATTTACGTCAAAAATAATTAATTTTTTCTAATTATTAAGTAAAATTAGCATTTTTAACGTTGTAAAATATAATTTTAGGCCTATTTTATGGAAAATTGCATGCAATTTACCGCTTTACAACACTAGAAACGCGTAAATAAAATTGTTTAACTGTATTTAAATTATTGTTTGTCGTAGATTTCAATGAGTTAAACTTTCATAAATTCATACGAAAAAAATTGCATACTTAATTTTAGGTGTATTTTATGGAAAATTGCATGCAATTTACCGCTTTACAACACTAGAAACGCGTAAATAAAATTGTTTAACTGTATTTAAATTATTATTTTTTACAGATTTCAAAACAGTTAAGTTTTAATAGATTCATACAAAGAAAACTGCATATTTTATGTAAAATTTCATGCGATTTACCACTTTAAACAAGTGAAAATATGTAAATAAATAGTTTCAAAATCGTTATAGGCTAATGAAAAAAAGGGAAATAAGAATTTAAACGCCTACTGAAGTTGACCAAAAATGGATTGCTGAACTCTTCTTTGCATATTCATACTCACGATTTCCGTTTGCTTTATGTTCGGTGGATGAACCGAAAGGGGCATAGTTGTCAGGCATATTTATAGAAGACCAAACATGTTAATTAATACAAGAGATGTATTACAGTACAGTTTAGTTAATTTTTTTTACAAAAATATATTTTCGCATAAAACTAGTAAGGGATTCATCAAGAAAAAAATTTAATGGTGCAGACAAGGAAGCGCGTAATTTTGATTATTATAACTCTTCCTGCTCGAGAAGGTACCAAACTCGTTTTTTTTCGTGAAAATTTACAACATTCTTGGCATTTGTTATACTTTGTATGTAGGCGAATGTAACGAAATTATAATTATGTGGAAATATAAAATTATAGAAGTTTATTTTAATTTTTTCCATGTATGAAGGTAGATGAGTATAATAATGGAAAATGCAATTGCGGTCGCGTAACATATCTTTAAGTGAACTAGGATCGAAATTTGCCTCGGGTTTATTTAAATTACTGCCTTAGATCGTGCCATGTTTAATGCCCAAATTGGTAGATAGAATGCCTAGATAAGTTAGAACTTATAAGAGGAAGAAAATGTCTACAATTACTTAGAAATTATCATTATCGAACAAATAAATTACAGTTTTTCATGAGCATAAGGGTACTTAAATTTCTTTTTTCTTATAGATTTCAATGAGTTGGGCTTTTATAAGCTCGTACAAAGAAATTGAATATTGAAAGTGAATTTCAATTAGGGCCTAAACAAGTTATTGCTCAAGAGTTCAGTGGCGAGTAAACTATAACTCGAAACCTGTCTCGAGTTAAATGTATTGTTATTTAGTATAGGGGAATTTATTTTTTTCTAGTGAATTTTTATATATAAAAAATGATTAAATGTTTATTTTGTAAAAATTTAAAAGTAAAACAAGAATGAAATGTGTTTAAAAGTAATACAAATTGAAGACTAAATACAAATAAAATTTGCTGTCTTTTAATCAAATTACATAATCGTAGCAGTTGACGAACAGGTCGACTGTATCAATGCTATGTTGCCAGTGTTGTATTCTTATGCTTGCATTGTGTCAATGTATTCTATTCATGTGCTTGGGTTTGTGTCAGTGTTGTATTCCTATGTTTGTGTTGTATTCCCGTATTTGTGTTTATGCCAGTGTTGTATTCCTATGTTTGCGTTGTATTCCTACGTTTGTGTTGTATTCCCGGCCAGTGCTGCATACCTACGTTTGTGTTGTATTCCCGTCCAGTGTTGTATTCCCGTGTTTGTGTTAGTGTTAGTGTTGTATTTCATTCATATACTCGTGTTGTGTTAGTGTTGTATTTCATTCATATACTCATGGTGTTAGTGTTGTATTTCATTCATATATTCGTGTTGTGTCAGTGTTGTGTGCCGGTGCTTATATTGTGTTTGTGGAATTTCAATTTTCAATAGTTTGTATTTTAATAATTTGTCATAACCAGAATAAAATTATGAAGACAGTAATCAAAATCTTTAGAAATCATGTGTTAAGTAAAGTTAAATGATGTCGTACTCCATTTAGCTATAAAACAACGAATTAGCTTGTATGGCTATTTAATATCGCAAATATTTAAACGTAATATTCTTAAAGACATTCAAATTAATCTTAGTTTTAATCAACATATATGTAGTCTAAATAAACATATAAAATGAAGGTCCAGATAGAGAAGGCACTAGCAAGAGTCTTTGATCCAATAAAAACATATATATAATTGAATTAAGTGTATTGTTTGTTAATTTAGTTAATTAATTGCAATTTATTCTAGTGATTAGCTGACTTTTGGACCAACACTTCCGGGAGAGATAGGCACATCTTATTTGTCACACAGAGCTTAATTTAGAGTAATTGTGGCCCTTGCTACAACATAAAAGATGTCCATCCACCAAATAATAATGGCATTATATATAAAACATCGTCGAGAATAGATCGAGGCCCCTCGTAACGTGATAACCTAAGTTGTAGCTTGTTTGCCTTATATGTAAATCAAGCTCTGTCTGCATGGAATGTAAATTATATCAGATATTCATTTATACAGATGTTTATGAAAGAAAGCTTATACAAACACACACACACGGCTTACATCTGATGTAAAAATTCGATATTTTGTAAGCTCAACGATTAACTAATAGAAGTAATTTACATTTAGATTTCCTACTTTAACACTGTTTAAAAAATTCTCACGAATGGACAAGTGTTAAGAAATTAGGATATAAGAAAACTCGTTTAAGAAATACAAAAGCTGAAAATAAATACACATTTACTTATTAATTTTTTCCTATAACAAAGAGAAGGAATGCCAAAATACAGTAAAACCTATCAAACCGTAGAAATATTCGGTACCGTGCGATTCCGGTTTACACAGGTTTTACTATAATAATTTTTTCTTACGATATCGAGTGAAATGTTTTATTCTAAAAGGGAAATCTGGTAACAAATCAGCAACTTCTTTAAAAATCCCGAAGCACCTGCAACTTTTCTATAGACATAGAATTAAATTTAATTATCCGGAAAGTAAAAAAAAAAAAATACATNTTTATAGGTTATTATATTAATTTACAATATTTAAAAATATTTATTTCGGAGAAAAACCATTGAACGAAAGACCAAATTTCTGCATGAACACATTTATTTATGAAGATGAAGTTTACATTTATTTATTATTTATTTATTTTGCGCATGCATTTTTATATACAAGCACCCGTGGTTGGACATGGGCGGTCTATAAAGCATTTATTCTCACTCTCGCTTCTAATTTTGGGCGAGATTATGAGAAAATCCATCACCCCACCCAGAAAAGAGCCCTTCGGTTACCTCGGCAGCTACTTGGCATTACAAATAAAGTGGGACGTTAATCCCGATGTTGTTTATATCCTAATTATCCTCGTCTTCCTCCCGATCCTGGGCGGAATTGAGCTGGTTCTGCAGGAACCCCTTGTCTTCCTGGAATGACTCGTGCTGCTCTGTCTGCATCATCGTCTGTTAAGAAGGGCAATTTCTCGTTTCCTATGTTTCCATTTACGTAGAAGAAATCTCTAGCGCTTCCGCATGGTACGGATTCGTATGGATCGGCACAGGTCAAGCTGTATTGATTGAATATGGTTTGATTTCCGCACATGAAACTCCATTGATACGTTTCGGGGCTGCCATCTTCTCTCACCACCGTCTGGCAAACGTGGAAAATTTGACAATTGTTGTCTACGTCAGCGAAGTATCCGTCACCGCTACACGTAAAGCTCGTTTTAACGCTTCCTATAAGTAACTCCACTCCATCCGGAAGCGCGTAAGCTTGACGTTTAGTCTGAAAATGTCAAAAATTTGTCCATTAAAATCTTTAATTGACTATTCTTTAACTAATTATACGATTTTTTTGAAGTTTTTTAAGATAATTTATAAGTTATGTGAGGGAATTTTACAATGGAAGAAGAGTTATCGATCAACAGAATTATAGTTCGAAATTATAAAATTAATTAACCTATAGAACCGTCTTTAATTGTCTGAATCTAACCTTTAATTAGCTATTAATTCTAATTAAAAAAATTAATAAAATACAGTCAAACTTCTGAACAAACGGCAGTATAAAAGTGACCATTATTGGGAAGTGGTCGTTATTAGATGTTGAACTGTAGTTTTTTAAATAGACATTTAAAAAACCAATGACTCACCCTGGGAAGCGCATTAGTCAAAGCTAAACAGCTTACTAAAAGAAAATAAAAGAAAAAAAATTATATAAAAATTAAGAAAAAAACATAGGAAAAAAGGGAAAAAAACTTTAAAAAATTTACCTAAAAGCAAAACGATTTTAATCATGTTTGAACTTTAAAAAATCACTGAAATAAAACGTTTAAAGTGAGTAACTTTATAGAAATTTTCTAAACTACCACATCCGAAAATATGTCTTACCAGAATAATCGGAAGATGAACGAGATGATGCGAAGAAGAGTAAACGTGCGTTTTATATAGTACCGTTAAGGCGCCATTATTCTTGGATCACGTGTTTCTACCTGTCAAATCTCACCAATAGGATAAAAGAAACGGTGAAAGTGTGTCACCGGAAGGTGGGTTAGTAACGGATTTAATTGGCCCCGGGCGGAAGATGTGACTGACGAAAGACAGATGAAGCACGATCGACTCGTTCAAGGTCGGAAGATACCGGTTAACAGGATGTCTGGATGTCATTGTTCGTCTACTTCCACCCCATTCTAGTCGATTTCCGTATCGTTATCCACTCAACCCGATGACAAATTACACTTCTCCTAAATAGCCGCATTGAAACTCGCTTCCGATAAGATGAAATATCGCTTAGAAAATCAAGTATGGTCTGTCCGTCACGAAGTCTGTCCGCCGAAATCATTAATTATACTCCACAATAAGACTTTATAAGTGTAGAGAAAGTAACTCTCTTTCGATTTAAATGAAAATTTCTCGAATGGAGATGAAGATGAGCCAAAAATAATCAAAGTTTCAAGAAGGGTTGTGGGGCGAAAATGCTTTTTTGGGAAGAAAAAGTTATATTATAGAAAAAGCTAAATAAATTAAGAAATTGTTACTTATTTAAGGATAAACAACAGTTTTTTTTTTCTGTAAGAAGATAAAATGGATAAGTATTAGCCAGGTAAGGAATAACGTTATCCTGTGGGCATAATGGGCAATTGCTTGGGGTCCCCACCAATTAGGGAGCCAAATAAAATATTTTTCCCCAAAAAATCCCTAGAAGACACTGCACTGTATATAAGATCCCCTAATTCAAATTTGCTTGGTCACCTACGAAACTATCAAGCGCCACTTAAATAATTAGTTATAAATCCTGTCGACACGTCTGGATAAATGCTAATTTTGAATACCTAATTGAATTTTTAATTGAATAGAAGAGTTAAAATCATAGTTTCTTTGATTGTTTATTAATTAAATTCGTAATATCTGTATTCAGAATCAGAAAGGGGGAGTAGGCTGGTGTCCTGGGTGCAAGTTTTGAGAGCAGTGAACATTGAGATAACCATTGGTCTGGCCACGTGTAGTATTCTGGGTTTCCTTCACGTCTCCGTCACCAAATAGGGGCCAGTTTTACATAAAAAAAACTCCTCCAGTGAGGCACTTCTCTCTTAACAGATCGTCCAGATGTTTCGTTACCTCGTGCTATCAACCAAACCCCTTCTGTCTGCATCATTTGGCGAAATTCTATCAACTTGATTCATTTTATGAACGATTCAAACGAAGAGTAGTCGAATCTAATTTAAATTATTTCACAACTGCGCTTTTTATTCCTTTTATAAACATTCCAGGACATTTTTTTAATGTCTAAAAACCTTCATATCTTCTTGGAAATGAATTTAATTTTATAGGAATTCTGTAGATTATAGTTAATAATAGTATTTCTGAATTTGTTAGAATAATAATAATAACAATAATAATTTTGAAATTATTATGATTTAAGACCAATTTAGATTCGAAATATTTTTTAATGTCAAAATATCTGTCATTAAGAAATCATGACTAAAGGATCAAATCTTTTTTATCAAAGGTTACATCAGGATCATCTTATAAAACTCTTCGAGAGATCATAATTACGGGAAACTATGTGAACAATTCGAAGTTAACAACTGTATTAATTTACCCACATTTTCCTTTCGTGAAAGACCTCGATTTATCTTACTTTCTATTACGGTATTTGGATCAAAGAAGAAGGTTTCAAATTAAACGTAATTACAGATTGATTTTACTTTTAAAAAACACACGTAATATTCAGCTAATGCTTGTTATTATTAATTAATTCATGTATAATACTGATAGAGAAATAAAAACAGTTGGCACCTCGTTAACAGACTGATCGCGTAGAGTTATCTAGGTTTTTTTCACCATTGAAAATTAAATAGGAGCCAGTTTCCCATAAAAGTCCATCGTGTGGCATTGCCATAATCAAATAAAACCAATCTTTATCACCTTTAAAATACGAATTATAGTATGGTTTTTCTAAGTACTTAAAAGATTTAATGTAGGGAAACAATTAATGACCACCATTAAGCAAAGAAAATCTGGAATTTGACCAGAGGAGCTTCAGGCCAATTAACGAAGATGGTGATAGAGAGGACAGAAAAAAGGGTCAAGAGAAACAGATGGAGGGATCATCTTATAAAACTTTAAGGACTTGGTGAGAAATGCTCATGACTGTGAAAGATGGAGAGAAATGATTCCTCAGCTGCAATCTTCTAAGAAGAGGATGACACAAAAGTAAAATAGTATGGTCCTACGAGGGATAAGGATTAGACTCTGAATGCTTTATTGTCCGCCTTTCCTTGCATTATTTTTAATCAGCGAAATTAAGATTTCAGTAGCCTTTATTTTGCGCGATATAATCTCATAGATCGTAAAATAATTCGAATTGCGTAATGTTTGGTTGGTTGCTAGGATGCTGCAATGCGACACGTGAGAAATCCGCCAATTGCCGGACTTTCTATGGAAAACTGGCCCTTGTTTAGGTGTTAGACACGAGAAGTAAACCTGAAAAACTATACAATAAATTAGTTTCTTTTATTTTTAATAATGTATTATAAATTCGTCGATTTTCCAGCCGAAACTCTGGAGAACCCGGAAACTGAGAACCCCTGGAATTATTTGTAGATGATTTCTCTCGGATAGATCAGGTCCCGTCTCTCACCACTCAGTCGCTCTATTGTGAGCCTGACCAAACCTACGATGATCCAGGAAAAAAAGCGCTTTTAATGGCCTCAGAACAAGAAGAGCCCAAAAATTCCACGAAACTTATAGTTCCATTATAACAATCAAATACCAAACTGCAGCTTTAAGCGGAATGTTGTATGTATATTTCTGATGCACCCGAAACTAATTATTGATGAAGGGTCATTTACAAATCTCGTGTGCATTAGAATATTATTTCCTTTTTATTATTTATCATAAACAAAGGAGATTTTTCTTTTAATTCTTTATTATTCTTCCATCTGGTTTTTGTTCTTTTATTTTTACTTTTACTTTCCACGTTTCTCTGAATAATTGCATTAATTTGATTTAATGAATACAATTATGATGACCTTGAATTACGCCTTTAATATTTTATTTTTTTGTATTTATTTTTTATGATTATCAGTTTATTTTTGCTGTTTTCTTTTGTTAATCAACGTTATAAAGTATACAATATTAAATTTTCTTTAATACCCATATCATTGTATACATTTTTCTTCGATTTATACCATTAACTAGGCCCTATCAGAGGGAGGTAGGCAAGATTATTAGGCCCTACTCCCTTTGAAAGGATAAGAAAAAAAGGGTATTTTCTTATGAGATGTGGATTATGAGCAGGTTGCTCAATATTGAGACCCGAAAGGCACATAAATTTACTTCTTAATACACAAAACTTGCAATAGAATGGATGCTTTTTAGCAAATGTTTTTGAGGTTTTTATAAAAATAAGGCCCTATCACACGGAAGGAGAAAGCCTGATAATTTCCTTGATAATTTCCTTGTAGCAGAGCCTTATATTTATGAGAACCTCAAGAAAATTTGTTATAAATTATTTTTTTTAATTCTATAAATTAATTTATTGTTTAATTTAATTAAATAAACATATATGACTGATTTAGACTTACGGTACTTTGATTCTAAACCATAACATATAATAGAACTTTATACTAAATAATAAAGTTAAAAACGTGAGGCCCTAAACTATAACTTCTGTAGTGTATTTGTAAATTGATCCGTAATTAATGAGGCTTTAATTTGTAGCCTTATAACGTGAGGCCCTAACCTAAGGTTTGTTTAGTATATTTGTAAATTAGTCTCTGATTAAAAGTTTAATTTAACTTGTTCTCTCTATTACTGTATAATTTCAGTAGATGTTAACTGATTAAACTGTATCAAAACTTACTTACAATTACGAAAATTATAAATTTATTCTTATTTATAACATACTTTTTGAACTTTCGTTTACATTACTTGCTACCTGAATCACAAAGTACCTTTCAACGTAATCTCCTTTCAAATCTATTGCATTACATTACCGAAACGTGATACCACTCGTAGAATATAAATTGCTGAAAATTTAATTCTATATGCAGTCGAATCTGCAATAACAGCCACCTCTAAACGTGGCCACATTTTTTTAAATGTGTACGAAATAACCTTCAAACAACGATCATTTTTAGTGGCCGTTGTTCAGAGATTTGTCTGTAATAATTTTTATTTATCACTTTTTTTAAGTAGGAAGAGTATATTTTAATCTGACAAAACAAATTTTTATGTTGCTGATTAATTTACGCATTAAAAAAATCATATTAATAACACTAGCACATCGTATTAAACAACACGTTTTCGTACTCTAATTACGTCAAGTCTGAAATAAAAAATCAATATTTTGTATTGTAGTTCTATTCTTGATTTAAATAAAATCTAAATTTTCATCTAAAATATTTTAAAAATATATAAATATTGTCTTAGTGTTTGGCTAGTGTTACCAAGTTCTATAGTATTAGGCTAATTAGTTGTCTCGGTGTTACTAGTTGTCTAATGTTTCTAATTGTGTAGTGTTACTAGTTAAGTAGGTTTACTAGGTTTCTAGTGTTATTTGTTGTCTTATTGTAAGATTATTGTTACTAAGTTTACTGTTACTAGGTGTTTTAATGTAAGACTAGTATTACTAGTTGTCTTAGTGTTTGATTAGTATTAAGGATGTATAAATACTGTCTTAGTGTTTGATATAGGCCTATTTGCATTATATAACTGACACATGCAAATCAATCAGAAAAGCACGTTGAGCATGATTTGCATACTTTAAGTTTTAAAAAATAAATAAATAATCGGGAGAAAACTATAAATTTACGAATGTATTTTTTAGGATGTATTTATATTTAAAGTATAAAGTGTACACAGAATGTCAAAAAATGCATATTTAAACTCGTCAGTGAAA